TGTTGCGGCTTCAGTTGAGTCAAAGTACCCTGGAGTCTTCGAAGACGTCGCGGGTAAGGCGATGGTCTTCAACGAGCAAGGGTGCGTCTCCAGTAGGCTCAGAGTATCTTTCAGGTAGCTCTCATACGCCTCATCGACACCGTCCATGCCAGCGAGGTCAATAGCGAGGTTCAGATACAACTCAAGCTCCTTGTTCAGGGATCCGACGGTTCTGTTATGCTCTTTATGATGCAAGTTCATTACCTTGACCAGAGATCCGAGAGCGTATCCATGGCTTTTGCTCAATATAACATTGGTCAGCTTCAATGCTGCAATGACTGTCTGTGAATTGCGCGACGCTGTGCTTCCTAACACGAGATCGACGAGGTTGAACAAGGATGGGTTCAGCTTATCGTCGTCCTTGTCGGAGGCGGTAAGGAGCATAAGCGACTGGCGCCGTTTGACAGCCGCAGGTGACCGTGGTGTCTTTGAGGATGCGTAGTCCTGGAGGGCAAGTAGATACTGGAGCATCATATGGACAAGCTCTGGATGATCCAGCGCATCTAGAATATGACGAAGATATGTGAGTACTGCCACAGACGAGCCGCCATCGGCGTCAGACGACTCAAGTAGCGAAGGATATCTGGACGGGGTCAGCTATGTACGTACTGAGGTTATGCTAGCCAGACGCACAGAAGCTGCTGGAGGAATAAAGCCTGGAAGTGATCGATCAACGTAACTCTTACGTCCAGGGATCTGCAGTGCTCAAGCACATCTTGCCAGAAAGCAAGGTATGACAGGAACGTCAGAAGATGACTCTGGAAATCGGGAGTAAAGAAGTTCTCTGCTTGCGGATTGGACTGCATCTCGGTGTAGTCGGAGAGCAGTAGGACAGGGGGCAGGTTATGCGCAGGGTGGAGTATTGACAATTTTCTAGTCAATGTTAGCTCTGTGGTCATGTATATGGATGGTGTCATGCCTGCTCATCTGACTATACAGCGCTCCCAATCCAGTCGCCATGAGCGTAGGCAGATCACTGTTAACAATCCATTGTTCCAGATCCATTGACCTAGATGCAGACTCGAATATGTAGAGCAACCCGGTGCGTGCAAAGTCTCCGATACGGCCTTCGTGGTGGACATGATCGATGAGCTGATAACACAACGGAAAGTCCTCTTTCTGCGTGACGCCGGCGAAGTCGGTCTTTTGGTTCAGCAGCCGTCCCTCGCTATCTGCAGATGTAGTGGTGAACCAGACATGCAGAATCTCGGGCTGCAACCTGATCTTGGCCGCGATGCCAAACAGCAGCTCTACGATGTCGGCTTCGATATCTTCTCCTATGCCCATGCTTCCTGACCCAATTGTGCGGTCGATGAAGTTCATCAGCGACACGGCAAAGACGTCGTTTTCGAGAAAATCCTCCTCTTCGCTGTCGATGAGCGCATTGTAGAAGGCCACGGCGTCCCTAACTGTGCCCTCATCGTGTGCCGTCGCAGCTATCTTGGAGATTGCCGTGTATATCTGCTGGGCGGCAGAGAACTGGAGGCACATGTGCGGCGCCGGGGAACGGGACTCGTCGCTGAGTATCGCTGTGAGGGCCTGGAAGCCGCGCCGGATGTTGCCCAGGGCTTCGCGGTCGTTGGCGAGGTTGGTCGACTTTTGCCATGTTTGCTGCAGCGTGTCAGATGCCAGGCAACTCTTGGTAGCGATGCAGCCATACCAGTATCTGATTGTATCGCTGCCGGAAGCGTGCCAGCCGCTGTTGGGGGTTGTTGGGGGCGGCCTGCTTCTTCTTCTGGGACGAGCCGCCGAGTAACCTCACCCACTGGCTGCAGTCAGTCCTGATATCGCGCCTAGAGCCGTGCAGAGACGTACGAAATCCATTTGATCTCTCACTCACCCCGCATTTGGGCCGTGTACGTGGGGGGTGCAAGGGTGGAAAGGAGTGATGTCGACGCGGAGCGCGCCGTCGTGGAGCGAGCTCGAAACCAATCGCGTTGCATCCTTCTCCGCAGCCCAGAGACCATCACCCTCTTTGCGCCAGCCCTGCTCCACGTCAACGTGATTTGGAGCAATGTGCTAAACTCGAATCCACCAGGGAGTTTCTGTCTCTTGCAGAAACTACCAAAATGCACGTTGCACACGCCACAGTGTGTGTGTGTGTGTGTGTGCAAAAAGCCAGTACTGTCATATCGTTGGTAATAGCGGATCAAGGTCACAACGTGGACATATCAGAAAGGCGCCGTCGTAGCAAGTCTTAATTATATTACTAGTATCCTGTAGACGAAGAGATCAAACAGACGAGAAGCATCGCAGGCTATGTGACATAAGAAGAAGATTCCAACAACAACAAAAACACTGCTCATCAGATAGCAGCCTCTTCCTTCGTCCACTTGACCTCCTTCTTGACATTCTCACCATGCAGCGTCGGCAGGCCACTCATTCCTAACATAAAATCTCTGCCCTTGAGCATCCACACAAAGAATGACGGTACCTTCCATCCCATGATAGCGCCAACACCGCCTCCACTTCCGATTGGAACAATCATGGACTCTTTTGTATCAGGCGTGTACAATCTGTCCTGGCCCTTCGGCTTCTCTTCAGGGAGCAGAGAGTTGAAGGAGAGCAGGTCGCGCTTGAGGTTGGTGGCCAGAATCGGCAGAGCCATGTTGATGTCCCAGAAGTTGTTGCGCGAGTACGATGCAATATCGCCGAAACCATAGACGCGAGGGCCTGCGATGTCGACGCGAAGGGTGGAGTTGTTAGTAACCAAGTAACCTTTTTCGTTGAGGAGTTGTTCTGGGAGCCAAGTAGAGTTTGGTTGAACACCATATGCGGGAACGTAGAGATCTGCTTCAAGCTTATCACCGTTCTTCAGAGTGAGCGATGTGTGGCCGTCTTCCGTCTGTGTTGAATCGGTGACTCGCGTGTTATAGACGACCTTTACACCAAGCGCGTTGAGCTTTCGCTCTGCTGTTTTGGCGATTGCAGGGCGAAGACCTGGAAGAAGCTGCTTGTCCGACGTGATCAAGGTAACGTTGACGTTTGGCTGCACCTTGCTGAACCATCCTGGCTTGCCATTACGATGCTCGGCAACTTCGCCTGCGAACTCAACCCCTGTTGGACCACCACCGACGATCACAATCTTCTTCGCTGCCTTGATCTGATCGTTCGTCGAACTGATCGCGTCCAGGGTGCTTCGAGCATCGGCACTCATAGAGAAGGCTTGGAAGTATGTCTTACTTCCTGTAGCAACAACGAGGGCATGGTAGCTCAACGATTCATCATCTAGTCCCTTGTTGCTGCGAAACAGCACACGCCGCGCTGATGGCTCGAGACCAGTGGCAGAGGCTTCGATGAATGTAAAGTCGTCCTTGGAGTATTGCTTGAAGCCCTCGTGTAGGTCAAACAAGACCCTGTCCGTCGACATGCGCTCAGTGGAAGTTGCCACACGTGGTGAGGCAACCCTGAAGTACCATTGCGAAGATGGCGAGATGTTGTAGACATGGTACTTGGCATCATTCCTGGCCTTCAAAGCAGGCAGAATATGCTTGAGGATGTAATGCGTTGCCTGGAGGCCAGCGCCTGACGCGCCAATAACGACGATATTGCGTTGTTCTGACATTGCTGGTCCGATTGTGTATGGTTTTGGGAAGAGTGAAATGATGCGGTGCTAGATGTCGACTTTAGATATGTCTACTGGTAACCAAGAAAGGAATATTTGGATATCATGTGTTTGATGAGCTAAATGACGAGGCCGCCTTGGTCTACATATACTCGCCATTTCCACCGTATGGACACCGAGCGCCTGCGATCATACAGACAACGGACCAAATCTCTACGTAGCCCTGTACTGAAACATTGAGATTCAACCACATTAGTGTAAAAATTTCCAAAGATGCTTTCGTTGTATTGTCCGTAGCGGCGTCGCGACAGCAAGAAAGCGAGGTTTGTAATGCTAGGAAGGACCGACCCCCGGCCGGATACCTGAAGATCCGCGGTACCGCAAAGTTCGTAAGCAAGGTGCCAAGGTACCGAGGGTTCTCATTGGCCAAAGTCGTTAGGGACGCTACATTTCCGCTGTTCGGCGATACAGAAATGAGACCGAAATTGTAATTTACCCAGCTCTTATCATCTCACGCCTTCATTATCGTATGGCGTTACCGGGACAAGGTCAGATTTTGCCAAAAGTGCAACACCACGTTCGACATAGCGCCACACAGTTTCTCACGTAAGAAACTCCAGACAGGACTCCTGATTCGGTCATTCCTGGTCCATAAAGGAAATTCTCGAGTGGCAGCAAGAGTACGCAGGTGACGATCGGGTTCGCCAAGTTTCGCAGCCACGGCTCGACAAAATCACGGAGGCATGAATATTCAAGGCAAGATCGAGGCATATCCGATTTGGACGGCTGGCTCCCATGTTGATTCTTACGGTTGCCAGGTTCGGTATATCTGCTGCTAATGTGGGTGATGTGCTCCAGCAAACGTGACGTGCAAAAGTGCAATCGACAACCACAACAACGATGCGATGGTTCGAAGACGGGCTCAATATTGAGTGAGTTCTAGTAGCATGATAATACGCGAAACAAGGCAGGAATGATGGCTAAGTAATAACATTGAAGTTGGTATCCGAATGGCTAGGAACAAGGAATCAGTCCGCGCTAGTGACACAAGCCGCCGCTGTGGCACGTCCTGCGAGCAGAGAAGTAACACTTAACAGCTACTCAACATGTATAATTCCAACGTTATTTCCAGAACCTGCTGAGCAGCTTGTCCTTGGGCTGTCTGTCACTGAGACTCAGTAAACAGCACGCACATCACTGATCATGAGCACGTGGAAGAATGCCGCTTTCGCCTTCGTCGTTTGCAACCTTCATCACCTCTTGTAGCCCTAGCGAAAAGTAGAAGAGCCGATACGAAGACTGCATGCGTCTGCCCAGCCCAAATTTACGGCGAACATGTTGCCAGTAAACAAGCTTTTCTAATACCCATGAACGTCATGTCCAACACCAGCAGCCTTCATGCGCCAGTAAAGACCTCCTGATCTTGATAACTCCCTACCTCCTCGCCAAGCATGCTCGTCTGAACCCAGTCTTCGGTGCCGAACCCTTCGTTGAGACCGTTGAGGTACTCGTTTGTAATTGATGACCATACTTGGCTTTGCTCTTCAAGGCTGGGACAGGTCGCTGGCGGCATCTACAAACTCTCTTTGGATAGATTGTGAGCCATCGGCGCAATAGTAGAACCATGGTACACAAAATCGTCGTTGGTTTGGTGACTGGATATAGCATATAGGTCATTGTTCAGATCATGTAGAGCGTTTCCTTGGCTTGCGAATGGCGCGCTGACTGTGACGGTATCCGAACCGGACTGAGGTATATGTTCGTGCGATAGATCAAAGTATGAGTCATTTTCTGACGGCGTGAAGCTAGCTTCAGGAATAGCCTGCGAAGGCTGAAATCCATTGTCTCGTGCCCTGTCGTCCGCTGGAGTCATTCCTGCGATACAGCCCCACTGGTACGGCCACGAGGGCGCTGCTGATTGTGAGTGCGCATGAGGCTCCCCAATAGCTTTCTGTGTAAATTTGGGACTTTGCTCACTGTACGCCTCATCAACGATTATCAGAGAGGAGCCTTCGTAGGGCCCAGGTGGCGGCGTTATAGGCTCGTCCACCTTTGTGACCCTCAAATCTTCCAACTCGAATCCTACCGCCGAGTCGACCGATGCTGACCTTTCAGACCGATTCTCTTTAAGGTCTCGCGCGATTTTGATGATGAGCTCTTCAAGACTGTAGCTATTCCTTATCGAGGCCACCTTTTTGGCAACTCTGTGCAGAAAGGCATCAGAATCTTCTTGTTCGTTGGCGTAAGGAGATGGTATCGAGGCCACGTGAGGAAAAAGACGCTTATAGACCAATCTCCACTTAGCCCCTAGAGTGTCCAGACTACTATATTCCTTCTTCTTGAAATTGAGGTCGGCATCGTGAACCTCCTGTGATGAGCCATGAATTTGTTTGAAATGATCCTTCATCTTGGCAAGCTCATTGAATCCCTTTCCTTTACACGAAGACATCCGATAGGTTTTCGGATCATACTTGTGAAAGGGACAAACAACACGGCTCTCATCTCCGGAACCACCGCTAACGTATTTCGACTGTACACGCTTTGCTTCTCTGGGCGCGTTGAGGTGATCGACAATAATATCCAACGGACACGTTGACTTGAGCGTCTGATTCTGCATGGAAGTTTTCCCGCGCTTCTGGACATCACTACCGCCGTGAGAAGGGTTGACTGAACGCGTCGCCCTCACTCGAGTCTTGGGATAGCTGATTGAATTGCTATGGCCGAGGCCGCGGTCCGCACCAGACCGGGGGATAGGGCTTTGCATTTTGATTTCTGTGGCAGCGTGAGAGAAGTTTTCTGTACATAGTCAGCTTTGAGAGCAAAGAAGTAGTTATAGACCACACACCGGGCAATCTGTATCAGTCAGTCGACTCTCTTCAAACGCTTGTGGGCCGTACGAGAATGCAGACGTCTTTTGTGCTCGAGTTGGTTATGCTTCGCTGCCGGTCAAAGAGCGAGACACTACCACCTCTTGCGTACGTATATCGTATGTGTCATACGTATACAACATGTGCAACGTTGATAACGTTGTTGACGATATTGATTATCGTGCCGATTGTAATAAGAATATCGTTGAGTTCATTGAGTGATCTTTGAAAAATCAATTGGTACCATTGGTAGAACAACCAATGTTGGCAGGAAACGCGACTAGTCCTCGTCTTCTCGTGTTTCGATCAACGCATTGCATATACGGATCGATGGCAAAGAAGTCGAAATGACCCTGCCATGGCGACATCTGCAAGTCCCCGACCGATCGACAGACATGTGTTTCTCGTCTCGCCCCTTCATAAGGGCTTGAACGATATCCTGTCGAAGTCTAGATAACGTTGCAGTTATAGATTGTCCAGAAGAAGCACAATTATCCTTCTCGCACCAAAGGCGTGCAGGCGTACAGGCGCTGACCGGCTGTTTGGAGTTGTGTTGGTTTGTGCAGGAGTGAGACTTACGAGATCGAGCAAGGCGATGAGTTGGATAATGTCCCCATGCACAGCGTCAATGATATTCTCAAGACTATTACGCGATTAGTCAAAGGGAACAACACCGTTTGACGATCATACCCGACTCGATGACGTGTTCGATGTCTATTGTATCGTTGCATGCACGACGACTGAACCAAGATCAGTGCCTGAGGAAATGATGGAAATGGGATAGATAAATGGAGCATAACAAATATACGGCTTTTTATACTTGACCAGATGCCAAGCCAGGATACGCGTCCCCTGAAAATGCTCAGGTAGGCATGAGGGGAAGCGATCTGTCGCATTTCCTACAGTCCAACTGTAACACAATTGCGGATCTTGTCCTATTCGAGCCAAGCGCAAAGACGGACCGCATGATCTGTGGAAGCAGTGGGGGCCCGATGCATCTCGGGTAGCAACATCAATCGTACGTACCAACCAGGCCCTGGAACGGGGTGGAATAAGGATTAAGATGGCTGTAGTGCTAGGCAAATATCGATGACTTGTGCATGTTCTTGGCTGAACAATGGCGTTAAAAACTAATATGCAGTGCACAGAGCCGCTCTCGCGAGGAAGAGTGATCAAATCACTTTGCAAACTGCAAGTCCCTATCCAACCCTTGCTCGAGATAAAACCGCTGCTGATTTCCGCACAAGGCCCGTTTGTGAGCTCAGACCTAAGCCGACAACAAAAAAGAAACGTTATGTCTTTAGCCAATAGTAACTGATGGACGAACGGCCTAATACTAGATTGAGTTGACAAGACAAAGATAGCCCAGAGCCCAAACACGTAAGAATCATAAACGCTGGAGAGATGACCACAGCCGCTACAATATTGGATATAACAATATTGGATATATTCGGCCAGAAGAAACCTTGAAGCTGACAACCAAAGTTCATGATATTTGCGACACACAAGAAGTTGAACATGAGAAGGTATATTGAAGGTATCATTCGTCTGATGCTTCAACAGCGTCTAGTCGATGTCATTATACACTATCCCTCATACCATCAGTGGAATCTAATCATCCTGGTCCCAGTTGCCAGGCTGCGCCTTTCCAGGCATCTTGGGTCCACCAGCTTGCCTTGCGACAATGATCTGGTCGACGCTTAGAACCGTCCTCGCGGCCTCGGTTGCGAGTTTGATGGCCCACATCTTGCTGACCCAAAGATCCAAAATGCCCTCTTCCTTGGCATCGAGAGTACCAGTATTGTCGTCGTTCTCGATGTCGACACCGACTGTCCACTCGTCGTCTTTTCTGCCCTTCTGTGAAGCGTGTGCGACATAAAGCTTAGCGAGAACTTCAGTTGCGTCCAGACCGGCTGACTCGGCGAGCGTTCGTGGGATGACCTCGAAAGCTTCGGCGTACTTGCGGATAGAGTATTGTGCCAAACCTGACGTCTTGTCTGCAATGGCCTTGATCTTTTCGACCAGCTGCATCTCTGTTGCTCCCGCACCTGGTACCAGCCGGGGGTCGCGAGTGATGGCCTTGACCACATTTACACCGTCGTCGATTGCCCGCTCTACGTCGTCGAGGTGGTTTTGAGTAGCACCACGGAGGACCAAGGTCGCGGTCCGTGTCTGTTCGTTTTCCTGTCTGAATACTGTGACGCGGTCACCGCCAATCTCCATGGTCTCAACGACGTCAATGGTACCCATCTCATCTGGCATAGGTGCACCAAGACGAGCAAGTGGAGTAGCACCGACAACCCTGCATAACCGTCGAAGCTCGAACTTGGAAAGAACCTTGATGACAAGAATGTTGTAGCGGTTGAGGTAGTGGAGGGCCAGCTCTCCGACGGTCGAGCCAGCGACAACAACCCTCATTCCAGAGTCGTGGAGCTCCTTGATGATCTGCTCCACTTGCTGCTCCTCGCCCTTTGTGAAATCCATCATCTCTTTTGCGTTGTGCAGCAGTACCGTGCCCTTGGTCTCGGTCTGTGAAATGTCCACTGGACATGAGAAGACACCGACCTTGGCCTTTGTCGCCTTTGTGACAGTACCGTCTGGCTGCCTTGCAAAGACCATGCCCTTGACGACCTTGCTCTGCTCTAGGGCGCCACCCATAATCTTGACCACGCGGACATTGTCGACATTGAAGTTGACGGGGTTCTTGGGGAGGACGGCGAGGACGGCTTCGGCGACCAGGTCAGCGAGAAAGTCTTCGCTGCCGGACTGCTTGGCTGCGACTACAGTGCGGATGGCTTTGCTGAGTTCCTGCTGCGAGCGGATGTCTTCGACCTTGTCACATACCAGCTCTGTTTTGGATTAGCCTCTGTTCGGTCTCGGGCAGATATACGTGTAGCATACCCTCCAGTGTCTGCAGAGCCGCAAGTTGTGCCTTCTCGTAACCCAAGACAATGTCACTTGTCTTCAGGCCCATTCTTATTAACTCCTCGGCCTTCTTCAGTAGCTCACCGGCCAGAACAATGACCAAGTTTGTCGCATCGCCCATCTCAGCCTCTTGTTGCTGGCTGGCCATTACAAGAAGCTTCGCCGCAGGGTGTACAACCTCGAGTTCTCGCAATATGGTCGCGGCGTCTGAGGTCAGGATCATCTTTTGAAGGTGGTTTATGACGATCTTGTTGCGGCCGTAGGGTCCGAGAGAGGTCTGAACGGTCTGGGCAATAGTCCGGCAGGCATCGATGTTGCGAATAACAGCGCCATCCTCAGCGTCGTAGCTGTTGCGGGGTGGTTAGTCGAGTGTTTATTGTGATTGCGGGGTTGTAGAGGGCCGTACTTCTGGTAGCCTTGCTTGAACAAGCCGGCATTAGGGGCGTTGGGTATTGAGAGAGACATGTTGGCGGTGTGTGAGGGGTATCTTGGTTGTGGTGGTGTACCTGAGTCTAAGCTCTGCGCGGCGAGAACGCGTCCAGTCCCAAATTTCGATGCCAAGACTTGGACATCGGGGGAAGGAAATACCGACCATTCACGAGCAGTAGTCTCAAGAGCAGATCATCAGATGCTGTATATCATAGAGACATGTGTAGCTTGGTTAGAGCACCCGATATCACAGCTGTGCGCCATCCCAAGGCATGAGCTTGACCCTAGGGCGCAAGTTGAGAGTCACTAAATTGAATCCAGGCTTCACGCAATAGGCACCTCACTTGTGAGTTTCGCAGACGCGCATGGTTAAGCATCAGCGCATCGACTATTCGCTGAACTGTCCTTCAGACGTTGTTCTGTCGTATGCATCATCGAGCCCGTGGGCATATAAGAAACTCGTCGGGTGTGCAATAATGTGAGCAAAATCTATCTAGCCGTACACCTTAGGACTTGTGAAGGTACCGCTAGCGAAAAAGACTGCTCAACTTCCTCTGGGCACCGTTAAATGACCAGGATCTCATGACAGTACGAGTATGCTGGGGATAAGGAGGTGCCGTAAAGAAGAAGAGAGGCTGTTTGCGCCGAAGAAAAGTTAACTTGGGATAGCTGCTTAGGTAATGCCGCTAGACCCAAAGCACCTCCGTTCCCCGAACTTTTCTGAGATCCTCGAGATGGCAGCGGCTGCACCGTGATACTGCGGAGGGCATCGGGAGAAATGAACGCCGGACAGCAGACAACGAGGCGCCTGGCCTCAAGAGCTGGTATGCATTGCAATTGGTATGCGAGGCATTTCGAGTGCTGACGAATCAAGGTCAATCAATATGCCGTTCATGTAGAGACACCATCACCCGCACATACGCATCCGCCGCTGCTGCAGCCATCCAGACCGACGACCAAGCTGCCCAACATATCCCCCCCGTTGCCCAGGCTTCGCCGTCAGCCTCTTACGCTGTCAACGCCGGTGTTGTCCTGTCCCGCCCCCCACAAATAACACGCGACCTCCACCCATTCGAAGCCGCCTTCTTTCTCTACCAAAGACGTCTGAACGAACGACTTGCGCTGCCCTTCACAAGATATTTCTACGTCAAGAAACGAACACCTGCAGATCTAGAATGGAAACGAAAAATGAAGCAACGGCTGACCCCCGCCCGCGATATCGGACGATACCAAGGTTACGGAGAGGAAGCCTGGAACGACGAAGTTCTCGTGGGAGCACAAGAAAGTGATTTCGAACACCAGGTCGGGAAGCTTATAGAAGACGCTGAGCAGTCTGGCCTGGAGGACGCTCCAGATACCACTGGCGCAAAAAAGATGGAGCGCGAGCCCGTAGAGAAGCCGATGCCGAGGATAACAGAGGCGGATCAGAAGAACGACACCAAGAGCTTGAACCGCGCACTGCAGAGAACACTATACCTGCTTGTCAAGAACAAGGAGGGGCAATGGCAGTTCCCACAGGATCGCCTAAACGAGGAGAACCTACACGGTGTACGTAGTACCATGTCCCTTCATAAGTCTACTGAGATGCTGACGTTGATTAGGCGGCAAACCGTATTATCACACACACTGGTGGCGTCAACATGAACACTTGGCTCGTCGGCCACGTGCCAGTTGGCCACCACCAAGTAGACTACCGCGAGCCCAAATCTGCAGGAGACCTCAAGGAGTACGGCGCAAAGACTTTCTTCCTCAAGGCACGCATCATGGCTGGACAAGTTAATCTCAAGGAAAACAAGCTTGGCCTCCAGGACTTCAAATGGTTGGCCAAGGACGAATTGCAAAAGGAGGTGGATGGCAGCTACTGGCGACAGATTAAGAACATGCTGGCAGAGCGATGATTGGCATCTACGACATGATGTACTCTAGAGTCTCACATTGAAAGTGGGTAGCTTGTTGCAATTCGTGTAGCATTATGTATAGTATCTCCGATGGAGGACACTGCGATTAGCACAACCATGAACTCTGCTTGACTAGGCACATGCACATCCTCAGAATGCATTGTATGAAGTGGTTGGTCAACTCTTTAAGCCATTGAAGCAAGTTCCGATCTTGCATCCCTTACTCACACTGCTCCCAGTCGTAGCTAAACCCCTGCTGCGCACCATAATACTGGTTTCCAAGCTCCTCACTGTACGAGTGCTCACTATCTACGACACCTTTCTGACCGTCTTTTCCTTCAACCCACATCTCAGTGCGGAACGAAAACGTCCCACTTCCGCAGTTAGACTGGGGAATGAGCTCAGGTGGGTAACTAATGTTAGAGTAGTGCTCTTGAGCGTACTGACCAGATGAGGCAGGACCAGTCAATGCAATAGTATCTGCGACCTGTTTGAGATGTCAGTGAAGTGGCAAGATGTTTTACATACAGCGTACCTCTGCTCTTCCACTCCCCTCACCCACGTAGTAAGCAAAGTCCCAGTAAACCTTTACTCCCTCATCCAACTCGTATGTCATGATTCCCTTCGTCCCATTCTTGTGCAGCCTCAGCTTATACTTCTCCGCCTCAGCAGTCTTGTTTACATCTTTGTATTCCTTGTATGATAAAGTCGCCTCGCACCATGTATGGCGGGGGCCAGCCTGAAGGTCAACACGCATCCATGGGTATGCGATAAACCAATAGTAGATTTCACTACCATCGACGGTATTGGAACCGAAAGTTAGGCGCGTGGTGCGTGAGACCGTGCCATGTTTGCCCGAGTCAGGACAGCCGGGACCGCGTATAGACGAGATGGTAAAAGACCAATTTGGGGGGAGGATGCGAAGGGGGTTGGATTGACCGAGAGCTGTTGTGAGGCCAACAAGAGCCACGACTGTGTTTGTGAATCTCATCGCAGAGATTGGCACTTGATGTACATATGATATCCAAATGCACTAGAAGCGGTTGTTTGTGGAGAGTTACTTGCTCTCGGAGGTCATTTCGTCAGTCTTTATACATGCGTATGTGACTTCCTCAGCTTGTATGCCTGGGTGAGACCCGGGGGAGTCTGCCGTCACGATATTCGAACAATCTTTTGGATACCATCCGCAATTCAATGAGTAAATTACCCTACATCGTCATACATGCAATTCTATATTGCTATATCGGTGAACTGAGGGGATTCGCTGTGCAGACCTAGCGCTCGCTATATCGAAACCAAGCCACGGTGATATTTGGCGATATTTATGAGGGTTGGTAGGACGTACGTGATAGGAGAAGAATCTAGGTGGCAACAATCAGAGGTACAATTAGCTAATACTCATTTAAATTTAACTTGTGTCACCCAGAAGCCCGATATCTATAAGACCAGTGTGCTTTGGTCGCGCATATGCAGAGGCGACCCCGTTCGTATGGGACTGCTGCATCAATATGAGCATGAAAGAAGTTGTGGGGGAACCCTGGAAAAAGAGGGTATGCAGTCCCTTGCTTAAGGTGCTGACGCTGTGTAGCACCGGCTGTGTTCGTCAGCAACGTGAAACATGACGAATGAAGGCAAATCGATAAGGTAACTGCTTCTCTATGCATAAAGTAGTATGGGTGCCTTTAGGCTGTGTTGCTAGTTGTACGTGAGTAGATGTGAAATTGCTTAATGCAGTCCCTGTTGCTCAGACTGCTGATGGATTGCAGGAGGTTGCGACAGGAGAAACTCGACAAGAATGACCCAGAAACGCGCTATTGACAAGCAATGTAGTTGATGCTACGTGGAAGATGACCAATACCAAAACCCCTTGAATGCGGTAAGAAAGTAAAATAGTTCCTGATCGCTCAATGCTCGAAACCGATACCCAGTGCACCATTGAGGTCCCGGAAGTCGCCCCTCAAGGTCTCAATTCCATTACGCTTGACTTCTTCAACTAAATCCTTGATTTTCGGTGTCATGACAGATGGCTGGAAACCGAAATATTCATAAGCCGTCTTGCTCGGCAAGCTCTTGCCAAAGCGGCGCATTGAGATAGCAGCGTCGGCATAGCGCTCCCAGCCGTTCGCCGCGTAAGCTTCGATAACGACGCTAGGCTTGCCAGCTCTTGGCTTCAGTACAGACTGTTTGTAGTCACGAGTCTGCTGTTCGAACAAGCGTGGGCAAGGGAAAGATACGACACGGGCTGTTATGCCATGTTCAGACTTGAGAAGATCGCGCGTCTGCATAGCGAAGACCATTTCGGATCCGGTACTGATGAGGGTAACGTCGAACTCCTCCTCTTCCACAAAGACGTAGGCTCCTTTAGCAAAACCCGACCGCGATGACTGGTTCCACTGAGGTAGGGCTTGGCGAGATAGAGAAATGATGCTGGGCGTTTCAGTGGCCTTGATAGCAACCTCAAATGCACCGGCTACCTCCTCAGAATCGCAAGGACGCATGTATAGCAGATTGGGCATAGCGCGGTAAAGCGTGGCGAGAGCAATAGGCTGATGTGTAGGTCCGTCCTCTCCAGTACCGATTGAGTCATGCGTCGCGATGTGAATTTGCTGTAAACCTTGCAACGCGCCCATGCGAACAGCCGGTGCTGCGTAAAGGTAGAACATGAAGAAAGACGACGTGATTGGAAGGAAGGTGCCTTTGTTGAAAGCTGCTAGACCATTAGATATGGCACACATAGCGTGTTCGCGAATGCCATAATGTATGTATCGCCCAGTGTAGTCTCCGTTCAGGCCGCATGCGGTCTTCAGCTCAGGCTGAATGAAGTCAGTAATATGATCAGAGCTTGGTTGGCTAAAGGTTGGCTCTTACCGACTGGAAGTCCACCTTCTTCTGATATGCAACATTGCAAGACGGGGTGAGGTCCGCAGTGCCAACAAGAAAGTTGCCCATGCTCTTACCGAGAGGGTTACCAACCAATCCAGCCGACTTACGCGTCGCGGTCGGCTCACTAGGAAATTCCCCCTTCTGCGGGATGTACTTGGTCCAATCAGCAGGCATCTTGCCCGCAACACGGAGCTTAAACTCCGCAGCCAGCTCCGGGTACTTCTTCTCATAGTCGCTAACAGTGGCAGACCAGTCAGCTTCAAGCTGCTTGCCACGAGGAGCCACGTCTTCAAAGAAGCTGTACATGGCCGATGGGAGAACGTAATGTTCATCTGGGTTCAGACCGAATGACTTCTTGATGTTCACAATGTCGTCGAGCCCGAGCGCAGCACCGTGGGTCGCTGGTGTTCCTGCCTTGCCCGAGCCAAATCCAATCACGGTGCGAATGTTGATGAACGTAGGCTTGTCGCTACTTCGGGCGTTCAGGAGCGCATGGACGATGCTGCTAACGTTCGAATGGCCATCAAGGATATCGACAACATTCCAACCAGTTGCCTTCATCTTTTCGTTCATGTCTTCCCCAGCATTTGCGACATCGGCGGTGCCATCGCACGTAATATTGTTGTTATCATAGATGATACAAAGATTGTTGAGCTTCCAGTGACCGGCTAGCGACACTGCTTCGAGACCCACACCTTCTTGAAGGCATGCATCACCAATCATGCACCAGGTCATATTGTCGACAACTGTGTAGCCATCCCGATTGTATGTGGCAGCAAGGTTCTTCGTGGCCATGGCGAGACCGACGGCATTAGCAACGCCTTGACCAAGAGGTCCAGTTGTGACTTCGACTCCCTCGTTCTCGATCTCGGGGTGCCCCGGGCAAATTGAGTCATATCGAGAGCTGTGATAGGACTTCAATTGCTCTGTTGTCATGCTTTCAACTCCGACGAGGTGCATGAACAGATATTGCCACAAGCAAGCATGGCCTGGTTGAAGCGTTAGCTCACATGCTCCGTTCCAACCGCTCGTTTGTAGCATTCGAAAGCCGCAACAAGGATGCACATACCATTTGATAGAACGAAACGATCGCGGTTGAAGTAGTTGCCGTTTTTCGGTGAAAATTTCATAACATACTTGTATAGGGCGACACCGATAGCAGCCATGCCCATGGCAGAGCTATAAGACTTTGTGTTAGGTTCGAACCAAAAATGAGTGTGACTGAAGCATCTTACCCTGGATGTCCGCCATTGAACTGTTGGCAAAGATCTGCGATATATGCGCGGAAATATTTGAGTACAAGATCGTGTTTATCCGACTGATCGAGCTCCACAGCAGCAATGCCAGTCACGTCATGAATCTTGGTTGCTACTGGTTTGATAGGAAGATCATTTGAGACCTTGTCGTAAAATTCGAGAGATGGTGACATGGCGGATGCAATGAAAGTGATATTTGAGAATGTATGCTGTATAATATCATCAGCAGGAGATTCAGTCTTTAAATGTCATCGTCGTTGTCGATTACGACTGCCCAAGAGGCCGCCGCAAGCGGGCTTCATCGCGACGAGATCGATTCGAGCACTTCCTTGTGGCCGTACCGGTCGCTGTAAGATCGTTGGGTACTCCATTGAAGCTCTGTCGTACAAGAGCGTGACAGTAATCACCAGAGAAACTCGAATAGGCAATTCGGTGCGCTAGCGCAGTCAAAGCTAGCTTGGCTAGAATCCGATTGGAGCTCGATGCGAGATGTCGCAGCTACCAAGTTTCCTCAAGGTCTCATGGATGCGGGGCCCCAGAATCGCGAACCTGGGGTATGCGATAGGTAGGGTGTGTTGAATCCTAATAACTAGCATGATGGCTTCTGGAATGAGAAGCTCCGTACATTTGAAGAACTGCTTACACTGTAGATGGGCGTCACTCTCCAATATGCATTACTTGAGATGCGTCACTCAACGCCATAGCCATTCATGTACACAGTTGTAAGACGATTCCAGAAGTTTCGCATGTATCATGAATTTGTGTTGCCACCCCAGACGTTTACTAGATCATCTAGTATTGTGATCGACGGAAACTTGCTGATACTCAAGACCATCCTAAGAATTTCGAGTATTTCTGCCTGGCGATCTTTTGTCTCCGTGCACAGTGCCGCTGATACCGATTCAGTTTGCATAGTATACACGGGGTTGGGTGAACAAACCTGCATAGATAGCCTGGAAGCAAACAAAAGCCGAGGGTGAGTTCTGCGATTGCTGTGCTAATGCTATACCGCAAATTGTCGAAGTGCTTTCGCGTAGGAGCTTGAAGCGTGTCTGATACGTGTTAAGACCTCCGGTAGATGGCTGATTGAGTACCATTATGATTCGTGCAAAATGGTACATCTGAATAGCAGCGGCATGCGCGGGAGGATGTATCCATATTGGCGTCAGATTCGCTTCGAGCGCTGGATTCGGTGAAGATACATGATGTCCAGATTGGATGGGTATGGGCTCAAAGCTTGGCGGTAGGAGACTCTTCCATGCGTCTAGCATCCGCAATAACGTTTCTCCTGCTTCGATGTATCCGGCGATGTCACCCTGCTTAGGTGTTGCAGCAAACTGTACGCATTTTGCTGCGATGTATATAATACGTGTAGCCAGTCCTTCTGATGTAAGTTCAGCCATCGGAACTCTAGGCTGGTGTATTGTCAGTGCCGGCCGCCCAGTACGGAAAGCCGCCCAGACGTCTTGCCGTAGCCATGCCCACCAGACTGCTCGTTGCAAGCCATCATTAGACTCGCCGCTTGTGTCTGAATTTCGTTGTATCCAGAATGCTCCCCTTAGATGGCGATCCCAGTTACTATGATCCGAGGTGCTAGCTGTCCCAAACATTTCTTGTCTCCGTTAGTATACTGAGCAAATATCACTCCCGCTGCTCGTACAAAGGCAATACGTACCATATGTCGAGATCATGATAGCAGTGACGAGTATTTCGCGAGACTTCGTATACGACTGATACAGTAGATTCTGAGATAGGTATTGCAGTGTTTCATAATAAAATTGCTCAGCAAGCGTTCGAATTGTCGGCGATGCACTGGAAGATGAAGCGGGCGTGCCAGGCGGCGCTTGTGACGCAATATCGTTGTTTGCATCCTGATCCTGAAATAGCGCCATGTGACAGGCACCCACTGCCAATAAAGACTTCAGCAACCCTACATTATGCAAGGCAAGATGAGGCACAACGTTAGCGAAATGCTTCACCGGGTCGAACAAGTCCAGTATTGGTGCTACCACGCTGACGTAGTGTTCGAAGTACACCAATTCTTGTCGTTTCAGCTCAATCTTCGTCTCTGTGTTCCATGGTTGCTCAGGTATCGCAATAGTATGCACATCGACGTTGCTGAAAGGGTTATCATTCGTTTCTAGAGCAACAGACTGTCGAGGTGATTGTCTTCTTGAAAGGCTAGCAATGTCGAAATTCCAGCGATTGCTATGCGTTTGTCCTTGCATATTGTTGATCGCGTCTTCGGCGAGTAGATCATACCTATTAAGTCTTAGTTTCTAGTAGCTTTCATAAACAAGTTGGCATCACCATTCGACTGGTCCAAAGTTGGGGGTCAGACTATCCCCGAAATTAAAAAGACTGTCGTCAAGGAAGAAGTCGTCGTTGGGTATCACGCTCTCGGAGAGCCCTGGCTGTTCTGCGGGGAAAGGTCCCCACGATTGTATCGGTTCTACGGGCTCTGCACTTAGCGCTGAGACGCCTGCAGATCTTGGCTCGGTCTCATTATTTCCTGTCACAGAATCTGTGGTAGCTGAAATGTCGTCGGGGTTATACGCGCTTAATGCTCGTGGCCGTCGGGGTGTAGGAGCTTTTTCAGCATATACACACTCGCGGTGGACTCTCTCGCAATTTTTGCAATTTGGATGACTCTCATCGCACTTGACTTTGCGCTTGCGGCACGTCAAGCTGTTCCACTCGTTAGCATTGCGCTCATGATGCGTTGCGTTAAGGTAGCCTGGCACCTGCCCTCACAAAACACTGACGATCCGGAAGTTTGTGACTTACCAGCCTGTCGAAGTCCTCAGTCCACGTGATTTGGAGGGCATATTGATCTGTGCTGGGGCTGAAAGGCAGTGTGCGAACTGGTCGTCTCGAGCGAGGCAGCTCGATACGGGCAGGCGAACTGAAATACCAGGCACGCGGAAGCTAGCCGCAATTGCGTGCTAACATTGGCAGAAGCTCCACATGCCCGTCGCCATCAGAGGCATTTGCTGCGGGGAACCCTGGATGCATTGGCAAATACGAGATGCTGAAGCACGGGGTGACGGGTGTCGTGGGTATGACGCGGATGAAGATCGTCCCGAGCCTTGTTGGTGTTATGTAAGCGGCGGTCGCGGCCTATCAGATGGAGACACCCTAAACCTGGACGAAAGATTGAGACTAGCGATATGTTGTAACATGTATTCAGTCTCTAGGATAAACCTACTGTGTTGTACTGTTACTCTAACGTACTATGCGCGACTCTGATAGCCTCAAGACCTTTAGCTTACATCTAGCCCGGCCTCTGATAGCACCGTCCTGTCTTCTTCCCATTCTCCCAGAACACAAGCCGTTATGCTGTTTTTCTGTCCTTTCTCACATTATGCTTACCAACGCCCTTCGGAACCTCATACATAGGATCTGACTGCGTACCGTCTCGAACTCTTGTAGTGATACCCTCGGCTTCGTAGTTGGGCTCATAAAATAGGCTAGCATTGCGAAAATGAATACCATATAATAGCCAGCGGAAGCCACGGGCGGTGGCGCAGCAGTAATCCCAAGGACTGGCCGCCTCCAGCAGCGCTTCGTTAGGTCCACACTCGTACACTTGCTCCGGAAATTTTGGAAGCCGCTCAATGTCGTATTGCCTCCACGGAAACGCCCAGTAGTGTAAGATAGCAAACACCAAAGTCTCAGCGCATGTAAGCAGACACGGGATTCCAAGATGAATATCGGAAAGCGAAATGAATCGCGTTTCATGTAGTACACGAAACCGGATGAGCAGGGAAATAAGCCATGTTTGCCAGTAAGTAAGGAAGACAATCAGCTTGACGCATACCATCTTGAGAACAGGTTTGTTGGGCGCGAGATCTTCTTTGAGCTAGTCGTAGACTTGATGCATGCAATACATGGCTACAAGGATAGAAACGGCGTCGAATATGGCTGTCCATGTGGATGCGTATCGTGGATTGTGTTCCTCTTTGCAAAGCCGACCGAATAATTGCGTGACGCCGGATATGATGGTTACGATGGTTCGAAGGACAACGTATTGGAAGATGCCGATATAGTTGATCTATAGATACATCAGCGAACGTTTGAAAAATGCGGGCGGCGCTGGCGCTAACGTTGAACCAAGTGACGCCGCATCTGGGCTTCCTCAGCCAGCCTTTATGTTCACCACCACTCAGCTTCTGGACCCAATTCAATGGCCAGCCCCAGTTCTTCGGTTCGGCACTGCGAAAATAGTTTTTCTGCTCGTGAAGATTGGGTGCTATGTAGTGACACATAAGCGTGAAGAAGCTCACAGTAGCGTAGGCGGCGTAGCATTCACGGATAAGTTCCCAGTAAACCGCACCGCCGAAGAAAAGGTAGGAGAAGAACGTGGTCCAAGCATAGACAGGGATGACAGCGAGGATGCGTATGATGTGTTTTTGTTCCCATGAGCGAAGGCAGTGCAGCGCGTGTTGCATGATGTGGAAGACGGAGAGGCCAACAGCTAATGAAGCTAAAGTACAGCAAACGTCGAGAGAAAGAAGACGGAATGTGACGTCCTCATCGCTGAAGGGTAGAGGCTCTTTGAGTACTAGAACTTTAAGATGGTCATTTCCACATGAACCAGCCATGGTGAAGGACGGTAATGGGCTGTGTAGACCGACGGATCCACGTTAGTATACTGTATGTTAAGGTGTCTCCTTCTCAAGACAAAAGGTTGATGCAGCAGCAGCATGAAATGTTAAGAAGTCGCAATGAGCACGTACCATCCACTCCTGCCTGACATAGCTCGTTGACCGTTTTCTGCCAGGATGGCACGAGGAAGGGTAAACTTGTCGGAATAACATCGGAGAAAGCCCAGCCCGTCATCTCGGTTCCGAGAGTTCTTCATGCAAAACTTGTATTCCTTCACGTAGCTCATCCTCTCCACATGTCTCCTCTTCTTCCTCTGTATCCACCTCGCCCTCGCCCTCTGAAGCCACCGCCACCTCTACCACCTCTATAGCCCTCATCGCGTTCTTCACCAACCTCGACGATTCTGTCCTCTTCATCGAAACTGTATTTGTACTTCATCTCAGCCTTGATACCCCGTCCTTTCCTAGTCTCGCCAGGTGACCAGTCTCTACTTGTCTCGGCTTCCAATTCCTTCAGTCTCAGTTCGGAGATCTCATCTGAAACAGGCAAGTAAAAAAGTTGAGGTTTCGCTTCTGTAGCGCTGAACAGGTCGTGGAGTGTTTTGAACGAGGCTTCAGTATCTTGCCGTGTGTCTTTTGATGGAGCGGTCGAAAGTGACGGTGTAAGTGGTTGTTGTATGGATGGCCTTCGTACGTCAATGCTTGCGCGTGGGCCTCGTGGTGCATTTGCAGGAGCGCTTGATCCGACTTCTTGAAACACGGCTGTGACTGAACCATTGCTCGATTCGGAATACACAACCTCGAATCGCTTCGGGTTAGTCGGCAGTTTATTTGCACGGGCCTCTTTCTCTGCAGCCAACGCGTCCTCTTCCTCTCTGATCCAGTCTTTTACCGTCTCGTCCGGAACGAAATCTACCCATAACTCTTTCCTGTTGCCCTCTGGTGGCCAGATGGAGCCATGGAGCGACGCTCGTACTCGTGATGCAGCGGTCTTAGTACTAAGCAGTACGAGAGCATGCGTCTTCAGCGAATCTAGGAAAAGGTCCTCAACTATGGTAGGGTCTGGTGAGCTAGATGGTGGCGAGGCAAGAGAAATCAAGTGTGCTCGCAGTGGCTCTGGACGCAGAGGGCGCATAAAGTTGCGGATGTACAAAGCAGATGTTACAGGGTGAAGTGCGGGTACTGTAGGCCTGTCGTCAGTTAAGGCTTCCTGGGGAGTGTCGTCTGCGCTGGACTTCACCAGGTCTTTGTATCGAGCAGCCTTCTCCTTTTTCTCGCGCTTGGTATCTGCCTCCACGGCTGGTGGCTGCTCTTCGACTGGTGGGGTGCGATTTCCGTTCGTTTCGTGTGACTTGACGTCTGTTGGGCTGTCGGCCTCTTCCTCCGGTCTTCTTTGCTCCATGACTGTGTCTTCATCTTCGTGCAAGTGGATTTCAGGAGCCGGTTCTTGAGCTGGCTTATGTTTCTTTGCCTTGATGTCTTCAGCTGCCATCTCCGGTGTGCCACTCCTTCTTTTTCTCTTCTTTGAATCTGCATCTAATTCCTCTGTGTTCAGCCTCGATGTGTCGATCATCGGCGACCCTGGAACCGCAAGTGTGTCTGGCTTCTCTACTGATTGCTGTTCGTCTGATGCGATTAAAGCCATCTTCTCGTCCGCTGTTGCATCTTGCAAGTCTTCGACAAGTCCAGATGGTGGCTGCACCATTCGCAACGCCTCAGCAGCCGGCCCAGGAGCATCTGGCAGCTCGTCCCCTGCAACCTGGACCTGTTTTACGTCCTCGACTTCCGCATCTGTAGGCTCTGTAACGGTTGGGCCAATGGGATCCGCGGGCGGCGCGTTGAAGACTCTCGCGGGTTGTATCGAACCGGGCTCGTCCGTATTGGTGGCGTCTTCCATAGGCTCCTCTATTGCCTTGATCTGGTCTGGCGGAGGAATGTCGCTGTCAATGTGCGAGATTGTCTCAGGGAGGGGTTCGGTAGTCGCTGCAGGTACGGGTGGTGGTTTCGACTCGTTTTCGTGGTTCGGTTGCTCTGGTTCTACAGATCGGTCAGTAATTCGAGGCTAACAATGTTGCATTCCTGCGCATACCTCCAGCCTCAGAGAGCGCGGGTCCCGGAGCATTCTCTCTGCCAGCAGTGTCGCCATGGCCAACTTCTTCCTTGACCTGCTCCACCGGATCGGGCGGCGCGTCTGCGTTCTCGGTACTCGCGTGGTGCGCATTGGAAGTTTGAGCAGAACTCGAAGTTTCAGCACCGTCTGCCTCTTGCAACTTCTCGATAATCTGCGCTTTTCGTGTCAGGCCGGTACTCGGTATACTACGATCCTTCAACAGCTGCCGCAATTGCGCGACCGTCTGCTTGCTGTAGTCTGCCATGGTCGAATTATGCACTCAATTGTGGTAAGGATAACAAAGTGACAGTCGCATAGACTTCAGTACGTCTATGCGCTTATCCACCCGATAAAAGAATGCTAGGTAAAGGAGAGTGAGAAGATGCGACAAGGCTAAGTGGCCGCGAACGTCACGCTTCAATGAAGTTCGCGTCCGTTCCAGGTAGACGCTAGTGGCTTGGCGTACATCAACGTCCCGCGCGCCACGTGGGGAGAGGGTTGCATTAACCGAGCGATCGTTGCATTCTGTCCTTTTTCTTGTGTTCGCGCTCAACTTCTCATGCCGGAGGAGAAGGACCGCATATTGTATATTTCGAAATGGTGACGACTTCACACCTGGTCGTGCGAGGGCTAGAGCAAGGAAGACTTGCTCGAACGTATGCGCGAGTCATACGAGATCTAAGACATTGGCAACCACGGGGGTACAACATGGTAGCGCACTGGCTCTACACATCTCGAAAGATCGCATGACATGGCTCTATTCAGTTATCTTGATTCCTGCACTAAGACCGTTACATATTACGCACACGTCTACTAGGTATGATTGCCTTCCAGCAAAGTGACAACCTCGATTTGAAAACTGTTGCTTGAATATTGCTTGAGTGTAGAGTGAAGCGTCTGCCAGCTCTTCCCTACTCCCTAGAATCTCTTGTCCTCGATCGAAAAACCTTAAATGCTTCACAACCTCGTCTCCCAACAGCGAAATGTAAGCACTAGAAAGAGCTCATTTGAATAAATCACGACCTCAATAATTTGGCACAATCGTGCAATGATCATTATGTACAGTTGTACAACAGGATGCTCGGCTTTACCGCATGTTTTGGTCAGCCCGTATACAGATGGCGGTGTTCGGGAACTCCATAGCCGTACTATCTGAGATTCTTCTCCGAAGGTGTCGGAGCGGGCCGGAACCACGACTGTCGTCGATCGCAAATGTGTTTAAGAGCTGCTATGAGGTTAGCCTTGATCTAAAGTGGACTCACAAAAGCCCGAAACGAGGCGAGCAAAAAGCTAATTGATGACTAGCGCGCAAGACAGGAGCAATGATGTAGATCCTAACGAATGAGCATTGGGCTGCTCACAGCCGATCTCAATATCCAAGAACGCACCATTCGCTTTAGGTAACACCTTCAGGCTTGAGTACAAGGTGTTGACTGAACTACAAAATTAACGTAATGACGAATAGCACCGTGCTAGCTTGTAATGATGAGCTTGGAAAGAGCGCACCTTTGTATATAACACTGTTGTCCCATCGTAAGACTAGATCACACCCAAGTACCCAACTCACAATATTCTCGTTATTATGGCACGTCTTTTCCTCCAAATACTGCTTGCTGCCGCGAGTCTCGTCGCTGGTCAAAGCACAACATGTCCAAATGAGGTTGCTATCTACAATCAGCAAGACCGTACCATGAGCACGATTAGCAGTGAGTATAGTCTTTATCGAAAGCAAACAAGACCGTGTACTAACATATGCTACAGGTTGGTTCCTAGTTCCTGTGCCGAAGGACGCTGTGAAGAAGGCTCTAAAGGAATCGTTCTCGAGTTTGGTCAACCTACAAGGACTAAACCTGCTGCCTCTCCCAGCGGAACTGAACTTCCCGGCTGGCATGCACCCCGTCATTGTCAATGCTGGAGCAAATACCGACATCCGTCAGGGTGGTCTCCAGCTTGCCACAGGATTGATGACTGCCAGCTCCATGATACCATATGTCGGCATCGGCAACTCCCAGACGCCACTCAATGCACCGCTTGTATCTCTCCTGGCAGGCGTGGACCCGGTGACGCAAGGCTATGTATTCGGTCTCATACCTTCTCTGGTTGGTAAGTAAACGACATTCGTGTGCTGATATCAGTTCATCATAGCTAATGCTCAATTGTACAGCCACCATAGGCGGCCTTCTCACTAGGATCGGCGCTTTCCTCCCACTAAACGCACCGCTCCAGACATACAGCGATGGCTCTTTCGGCATCAATTCAAAATGGGCACAACTACCCAACTCTCTTAGCGGCCCAGGTCTGTACGCCGAGGCTATTGATCTCAAGTTCGTCAGCGAGCCCAACCAAGCCATGCCCAGGTACTCTCTCGATATGTGGAAGAGCATGTTGAACCAACCTCTCATGCTCGGCAGCGTTGGTAGCCTCCTTACCCCCAAGTGCCAGCGCAACACCCAGTTTTTCAATAACGCCACGGCACAACCGACTTTCCGCTCTGGTAACGTAACGCTTGGTCCTTCGGCAGGTGTTGATGTACTCGCTGCTACCTTACAAAAGGCCAGTCCGGATGGTTCAGGCTTTTACCAGAAAGTTTATGGCTTCACTGCCTGTGCGCAGACCGTAGGCTATGGCGCTGTTATTCCGCTAGGGGAGGACTGTGAGGAGGCTGCGCAGGCTGTTAAGAACACCCCTGGAGCCTTGTGAAGAGCAGTATTAGATCAGATCATGTCGACGAATATTCTATAGTATCCACTCTTCTTTTGTTGGCGACGTGCTAACCAAATTTCAATGCAATGTTTGTCGATTGAGACGGGAGGCAACTGCCGCGGTACGAAGATCGTCACGTCATTACAGTCGCGTTTCCAAACCTGTCGCTTTCACAGTGCACACGCGTCTTTTCCTTGACTCACTAGCCACCCTCTCCATCTTCGTGCGAGCGTACTTGTTTCGCGATCTGTCAGCCGGAAAAATCTCCGGTTCTTCTGAGAATAAAAGCTCGAGGATGCCGAGTAATGAACGTACTTTGCCATGCTGGGTTAGTGCAGCTGATTAGCACGCAAAATCTACGTCACATTGACCGGAGATGTCCAACAGCAATCGTGGGTGGCCTCTGTTTCTAGACTATTATGCGTTTCATGGTCTTTTTCCTCTGTTTTTCCTTGCGGATTTGATGTCGAACCTATATGGATGCCTGCTACCTGTCGTAATTTCACATCATCATCTCATTGTTTGAACCACACATTATTAGGAGAACTGAGTCAATTTTGAGCAATTGCAAGTCCCTTTTAAATTACGCAGCAAGAGACTATTGACTAGTATCATGGTTTCGGAAGACAACACAACCCCTCCATCAACATCGAATGCAGATGTAGATCTCGAAAATGGAAGGCGATCAAGGCCAAGGCAGCGGAGCAAATCGACGTCTGGATCATCCTCGGATTATGAAGAAGAAGAGAAGGATCTTCATCATGACGGTCACCGTCCATCGCGGAGAGAGCTTCATGAAAGCATCTCGCGCTCGCGCAGCACACGGAGCTTAGCACGAGACAGGACAGTAACAGCGACCGCGAGTGGTATGAACCAGCCATTGGGCGCCACGATTTCCAGGCGCGACACAGTACTTTCACGAATCCGTACACGACCGAATGTTGCACCATTCTCCCATCCTCTCGCACATCAACAGACGACGGCAGATGTGCTGGTAGACTTCGATGGCGATGACGACCCATACCGACCGATGAATTGGCCTACTAAGAAGAAGGTGACTACGACCCTGATGTACGGCTTTACGACTATGAGCGCGACATGGGCATCTTCTGCATATTCGGCTGGCACACGACAGATAGCAGCCGAGTTCAATGTTGGAAATCAGGTAGCTGTATTGGGTACTACGCTCTTCCTCTTCGGATTCGGCCTTGGTCCGCTACTGTGGGCGCCACTCTCCGAAGTCTATGGGAGACGACTAGCAGTCTTGACGCCTATGCTTGTCGCAATCTGCTTTAGCTTTGGTAGCGCAGTAGCAAAAGACTTCCAGACGCTAATGATTACTCGATTCTTCGGTGCCTTCTTTGCTAGCGCACCAGTCACAAATACCGGTGGTGTCTTGGGAGATCTTTACAGTCCCGCATGGAGAGCTTTGGCGATGGCCGGCTAGTAAGTTGTGCCTATACGAAATGCATGTGAGACATACACTGACTTCGTGTTTTCAAATCTGCAGTGCGATGGCAGTGGTCGGAGGTCCATGTCTGGGACCTATCGTATCGGCGGCCTTTGTCGCCAATCCTTCATTAGGCTGGCGATGGACCGAGTACTTTACCGGAATTCTTCAAGCAATCATCCTCGTCATCGACGTTGTCTTCATTGACGAATGCTACCCACCAAAACTTCTCGTCTATAAAGCGCGTCGCCTTCGCCATGAGACAGGAAATTGGGCGCTCCACACCAAGTTCGAAGAGTGGGATGTTAGCATCAAAGAGTTGTCTAAGAAGTTCCTTCTCCGACCGATACAACTTCTCATGACACCCATCTGTTTTCTCGTAGCACTTTACGCCAGCTTCTGCTATGGCATCCTCTACATGCAATTAGGTGAGTCCAGGGCGTATGAATCATATGCGAGACATGCACTGACTTTGTATCTTCTTTTCTGCAGGTGGCATTCCGATTATCTTTGGGGAAATGAGAGGCTGGCCAGCTGTAAGCGCGACACTGCCATTCCTGGGCATCTTAGTCGGCGCAATAATCGGCTGCAGCATCAATGCCTATAACCAGATTCTGTACAACAAGGTCTACCATGCAGCTGGAAATCGCGCAGTGCCTGAAGCACGTTTGCCGCCGATGATGCTTGGATCTGTACTCTTCTCCGCTGGTCAATTCATCATGGGATGGACTGCGGATCCACAGTATCCTTGGATCGCTCCTGTCATCGGTCTCGTGTTGATGGGAACCGGTTTCTTCACCATCTTTCAAGCTGCTCTGAACTACTTAGTTGACACTTTTACATTGTATGCGGCGAGTGCAGTAGCGGCGAATACCTTCCTTCGAAGCGCTTTTGCAGGCGCTTTTCCATTGGTTGTCACGCCGTTATATCATAACATTGGAGTTGGTCCCGCAAGTAGCATTACTGGTGGTTTCGCAGCACTGCTTATCCCAGTGCCTTTTGTGTTCTACATATACGGGAAACGGATCAGGCGGTCAAGCAAGTGGAGCCGTGGTAGCGTGTTCGATTGAGCAACTGATAGGGAAGTATATCGATAATATATTGATGATTGTACTTCTGTAATGTACCAGGTCGATAAAACTTATTCTGAATTAAATTTGTCCCACATTGACACACACAAAAAACTCCCCGAAGGTACAAGCTGCTAGTTTCCTGTAGAGTTTTAATGCAGATCAAGGTGTTCAATTTCGTGGTACATTATGGTAAACCTAAATACAACTTTAGTGGTGTTTTACCGCAATGGGACAGGAACGAAGCGGCCATGAATGGCTTCAGTAGTACACACAGTGGCGAAGTGCAAGTGATCGCAAGGTGAAAAGCCAATTAAATATGATATACACATCTTCGCCTGCTCCTTGCAGAGCTTGCACTAGGCAACAGAATTCGTGCTCACATCATGCTTCCTCACACGGCGGAGACCGAAAAGGATCTGGACGTCGACATAGGCGAGTATAACATGCTGTATTTTGAATGAGAGCGCATCGAAGATACTTAGCACTCACGTCAGAGCTCATGCCGGTTTCGTGTTCTCTATAGTCGAGTAGGCAGCGCACGATAACTGGTCCAAGAAGATGATCCAACGCCATGCCTGGGCATAGTTGACAGAGTGCGGTACATTTTTGGTATCATTGCTGTGATGAAGAAAGGAACAATGCTGAGGTACAGCATTCACGACTGTAACGACGTACTAGGGCGCCGTTCTACTCCGACGCGTCTCAGACATCTGCCATCCACTAACACTTGCACTGGCATAAGCTGGATGATGTTCACGTACGGACCAGATCACACTTAGGTCATCACGATTTTTATTTGTTAAGTGACGTTCAGCAACATGTGTTGCAGAATTGCGGTCTATTAGAAAACAGGATAACGGAGAGGACCATCCGCGACCGAATGGTGGCATCGTCTAAGTAGATACGCACCGGTTCGAGATGCAGAGATGAGGTGTCGAATAGCTTCGAATTCTGATAGGACTTAAAAAGGCTGGAGGATACGACATATGGGTACATTTTGTGAGCAGAAGTTCGTGCATTGCTTCTGTATGTTCACAAACTCGCTATACTTGGAACGCAACGCCTTCTCTCTTTACCATGGCCTTTCCACCACTTGCAAATCCAGTACCCTCACTCCGGATCTCCACAAGTCCAGGCCTGGGCGCCTTCTCCTTTTCTTTGTCCTTCTTCTTCTTCTTGCCATCCTTAGCGTCCGGGACTGTAGTGAGATCCGCATCACAAACATAACAGTGTACAGTCTCCGGGTCAGGTCCATCGTCATGTGCATCTCTCTGATGGCGATGTTCTGGCTTGAGAAACTTGTCGACACATGGCTTGCAGAGGACGTGGCCGCATGGTATAGCTAGCATGGCTTTTGTGCTGTTCGAGAGCGCTTTCTGGCAGCTGGGACATGTGCGGACAGACTTTCCGGTATCGGCTGACTTCTCTTCGTGAAAGTTGACGCTCGTCAGGCTTTTTAGCGACAGGCTGTGCGGTTGGTCAGGGTGGCTAGACGGGCATATAGGTGTCTGCCTCGCCTTCTCCGCGCTTGTGTGGTGTTGATCGGGGGTCTCGCCTGGGACCCAGAAGCTGGGTAGATGACCCTTTGCTGCTTTACGTTCGGCGTCTAATGTACGTTTCGCCTTGCTTTGCTCTTCGTCTGCGATGCGCTTGAGCTCTTCTTCGTCGATTTCGAATTTACGTTTCGTGCCTCTGGTCTCTCCAGCCTTTGCATCCTGCTCCTCTTCTACTATGATCTTGCCGCCCTGCCTTCCAATGACTCTTGCTGATGCGCCTGCTTTGTCGGAAAGCCCCATCTGAACAGCCTCGAATTCCTCGACTGCCCGCAACCGCGCTTCCTCTTCTTCTCGAAGCTTTTGATCCTCATCTTCTAGCTTTTGGCGTTCGTTGATTTTTTCTAGCCTTTTCATTTCTTTCCGTTGAGCCAAAAGATTGGTCATGGCACACTCGCGGCAGAATAAATCGCCCTGTGAACAGCATACTGGGTCTACTGAAGGAAGGAGACATAGCTGGCATGAGCCAAACGGTAGAAAAGAGTCACGAGTGAGACGTGTTGCCTGCGAGCCCCACCTATCTTTGAGGGCATTCCGCTCGTAAGACGTGAAGATGGTCTTTGGAGGCGGCATGTTAAGCCAAGTCTAATGTGATAGAGTCGCGAGTCGCAGAATGCGAAGTTTAGACGCGACTTTTCGTGATGCAATCAATAGAGATGGCAATCCGGGTGATAGTGCCAGGCTCAATCACACGATGGCGTGTACCAGACTTGATGATGTGCACGGGAATTGTGAATGCACGTCTAGTGTTGTAAGGTATTGGGCTCGTGTTGTAGTGATGGAAGAGTGAGTGCTGAAGGCGGAAGAGCCAGCCACTCGCCGCACGTGCAGGCCGCAATGCCGCTAATCCCTGTCGCAGAATTCCCAGTCCCTGGCGGCGGTGACGTTGGTTGGTCGCAGCAGCCAGCTATTGGGCGCGAAATCTTCACATGTCGCCGTCAACCCCACGACAACCCCAATGCGACCAGAGGAGCAGCCGGAGGCTCCCAGCGGGCCATGGCGCGCGGCGTCCGTCTTCACCATGGGCGCTGTCGGCCTCTTATGCAAAGGTTTCCTGACCGGGCTGAGCAAGGTGGAGACGCACGGAATGGAGGGCTTCTTGAAGCTGCTGGACGAGAGGGAGGACCCGGCGAGTAGAGAGAGGGGCCTGATTACTGGTATGCCATTGCAAAGCAGGTAGAATGCAACAAGTACTAACGAATGCATAGTCTCGAACCACATCTCCGTGTACGTACGTTTGCCGTAACCTCGCACTCGCAAACCATGGATTCCGCTTATACAATTTGGACAGAATGGATGATCCGATATTATGGGGCATACTGCCTCTCAGCTACATGTTCAACCCAGACAACCTGCGCTGGGGACTGGGCAGCTACGACTTGTGCTTTACCAACAAGTATGTTCCCTCTAATAACATTGCAACATGGTCAACTAACGCCATACCAGAGGACTGTCAACATTCTTCACCTTCGGGCAGGTTCTCCCTACACATCGATCGGCGCATTCTCAATTCGGCGGCCTCTTCCAGCCTACCATAACGCAAGCGATCCGTCTCCTCTCGCGCGGGCCGTTCTACGAGCAAGACGCACCAGTAAAGCCTACAACGTCTCTCAAGAGCCCGGATCTGATCGACCCCTTCACTGACGGCCACCTCACATTCTCTACAAATGGACAGGACACGTTTCCTGCGCCCTCAGCATATCTCAGCCGGCGGCATGCATGGGTACACATCTTCCCAGAAGGCATGATCCACCAAAGTGAAGACCGGATCATGCGCTACTTCAAATGGGGAGTATCTCGACTGATACTGGAGAGCGACCCGATGCCAGACATCGTTCCCATCTTCATTGAAGGCTTCGACAATATCATGCATGAGACGCGCACATTCCCACGCTTCATACCACGGCCGTTTAAAAACGTTCGAGTGACATTTGGCGAGAAACTGGATACTGAAGAGGTGTTTGGCGATTTGCGCGCACGCTGGAAACAGATGCGCGCAACTGAGGAGCGGAAGGAGGGCCAACTCGAGGTCGGTGTGCTAAATGAAAAGCTCAAATACTCTCCAGAGGCTGTCAGCATACGCAAAGAATGCACGCGACGGATGCGGCAGGCAGTACTGGACGTTAGGCGGCAGCGCGGATACCCTGAAGATGACCCCAAGAACAGCCTCGCAGAGACATGGTTGAGAGAAGGCCCAGGTAGAGAGGGTCGCAAGGAAGATGGCAGCATCACAAAAGACACATGAGGCGCTTGAAGGGCATATTGTATTGTGTATGTATATGCGACTGCAATGTAGACTGCTATAGAGGAAAGCAAAGGGGTGAAACATGGCACCCAAAGAAGGATGCCAGGCAGACGCCTCGTCAACTTGGAAGCGCGGCAGAGTGTCAGATTAGATCAAGTAATTACACCATCAACGACTCCCGTCTCTGCGCGCCGATCAACCACAACCTCAGGCGACCGAGGGGGTTTCGTCATTGCGAACAGAAGCAGGCACCGCGATGCTGTTTGGACATGGCGGATGTGTCTCTGGCGTGCTCGTGTCGTCATCCACTGCTGGCTCCGCGCCCTCACCGAGACCTTTCCAAAGCGGACCTTGGGCAGGAACGATGAAGGTGACGAGGCTGAAGAGTCCAAGCCCAAATCCGGATTCACGGTTTTGTCGGGAGGGCGCGTAGGGCACGGGCCCCAGGCGCGCGGGCGAGAAAGTAGATAAAACCTGCGTGGCCCGCTCTTCGACAGTGGCAGATGCTTTCACCGCCCGCACCAGACCAAGACCGAAGCAGCTTCATAGCGTCACCCAGACTCGCTACAAGACCCAATTACCGCGTCATCTCTCCAAGGTCCCTGTCCTCCAAGCACCAGCCAATGGACAGCAACTGGGCCCCACAGTCGCCAGATTTATCTTCCTACTACTACTCCGCTGAGCAGCCTACTCATCCCCAGCATACAGGTTACAGAGGTTCCATTTCCCACGTCGCGCCGCCCTTTGCTCCGACACATCCTGCTCCGACACTGCAGGCCAACCCTGCGCCACAGCCTTTTATGCCTCGCGGCGTCAAGAAGGAGGAGAGCATGCAAGATGCAGACTACATGCCTGACGCGTCGGTGCCCGCCATCATGGCAGACGCGGGCAGCGGCCTCGGCGGGGCAGACACGCCCAACACCGACCACATCACCATCAAGAACCACTTCCCGGTCGCGCGCATAAAGCGCATCATGCAGGCCGACGACGATGTCGGAAAGGTCGCCCAAGTCACGCCTGTCGTCGTTTGTACGTACTCGTCATTCTATCCGCACACGCACTTGCCTAACACTTCACAGCCAAAGCGCTTGAGCTCTTTATGATTTCCCTCGTCACCAAAGCCGCCGCCGAAGCCAAGGCGCGCAACTCCAAGCGCGTCGGCTCCATCCACCTAAAGCAAGCCATCACCAAGACCGACCGCTTCGACTTCCTCAACGAGATCGTCTCCAAGGTCGCCGATGCGCCGGAGAAGAACGAGGGTGACATGGATGTGGATGGCAAGAAGAAGAAGACTTCAAGCCGGAAAAAGAAAAAGGCGGAAAGTGACGACGATTTCTGAGTCGGACGTCGGCAACTCGCTATGGGCCTACAGCCCTTCTTCGTATGTCTCTGTATGCTCGTGCTGAGCTCTTGCTGTGCACATTCGAGGCGACGACATTGCTGCTGGCCACCTTCGCGCGGTCTGTGACAACTGCCAGAAGACTGCACACTGTTCATGTGGCCAAAGTCCAACCTTCTGACACTCCAACTGGGGGTGGATTCGAAACACTGGTACCGGTACCTTGTGGATTATCGCCATACCTTTCCGTTGTGTGGTCATGTATCTTGGTGGCCACAGATTACGGCCAGTCACGACGTTTATAGATGACGCTTCTGGCAGTCAAGGCGTTAACTATTCCGGGACATTGCATGGGCGGCGTTGTTTTGTTATTGCATGGATTACGATACCAATGAATACGGATACATGATTCTTCTCACTCGGTGCTTCTTCGCCCAGTCGTGTCGCTAACGGAACAATTGTGTCCGCGGTCCGAATACAGCGCAAGCGTCACAATCGCAGTTTACGCGGTGTGTAGCCGATGGATAAACAGCGTTGCGAGCAAAAGAGCGCGCCCACCAACCAGGTTTTCTCGGTCCGCGCAATTTATCCGCCCATCTCCGCAGATCCCCACAAGTTAACGGCACCCCAGATACTCTTTCAGGAACAGGCCGTAGATCGGTTCCTGCGCCATCCCAGATGTATGCTCGTGTCTATGCTTAGCCTCATTTCTTTCCCTACATCCGTAATTTGGGGACCGTGGCAGCGGCAGGGTATTAAACATGCGGATACCCGGTGTTTTTGTCGGTCGTGGCATCGTCATACTCTCAAGCTGACAATCGAAGAACGATTGAGCCAGTATGATCTTCTCGAGGTTAGCAGTGCTCCTAGTGGGCGTTGCAGTGTCGGTACAGGGCCATGCGATTGAGATCGAGTCGAGAGCCTCTGGCAAACTTCGCCCCAACCCTTCCAACGGCCACTGGGTCGATGCGTGGGCATCGATGCCTCAGCTCACAGAGCCAGCAAACTTGCCGCCTGCTCCATTCGTATGCTACGTTGCTCACGCACTATCGAGTTTGTACTAACACCACGTACCAGAATCAAACAGGCGCTGTCTTTGTCAACTCTACGATCCGACAAACTTTGTACATGACCACGTCAGCCCACCAAATTCGCCTCAAATTCTCCAACGTCTTTGGCGGTTCCAATCTTCCCATCACCGCCGTCACAGTTGCCCTCCCTGTGAACCAAATCGCCGGTATCTACCAGGTCCAACCCCAAACTGTCCAAAAGGTTACCTTTGGAGGAAAAGATGGGATCAGTGTACCGAACGGTGCCCTCGCAGTGTCCGACCCCATAAATTTTGAGATCAAGGCGCAGCAGATCGTTACCGTAACCATGTACCTTGCGAGCGGACAGACGACAAACAGCATCACCAGCCATCCTGGCTCCAGAACTACAAGTTGGTGGCAATTCGGCAACGCAGTCTCCTCAGCTAGTCTCGACATCAGCAACTCTACCACACAGTCCGCAGCACATTGGTACTTTCTTTCCTCCATCGAAGCCTGGGTTCAACCGCGTGTTGGCTCCCTGCTCATTGTTGGCGACTCCATCACTGACGGCCGTGGATCCACAACCAATCAAAACAACAGATGGCCCGACCTGCTCCTTGCGCGCCTTCAAAAGAACCCCTCAACCAAGTACATTTCCGCGGGTAACCTGGCTGCAGGTGGAAACCGTATCTTAGCAGACGGTCTCGGCCCCAACGCGTTCGGCCGTATTGATCGCGACGTCCTGGCGCATCCTGGTGTAAAGTATGCCATGATCTTCGAGGGTGTAAATGATATCGGAAGTGCACCTACAACACCCGAAGCGCAAGAGCAGATTTATCAAGGACTGACTCAGGCGTACGAGCAGATGGTCACCCTTATCCACGCCCACGGCATCCCTGTTTTCGGCGCTACTATCACACCTTTCTCTGCACCAGCCAATTTTACTCAACAACCTTACTCTGATCCTGAGCGCGAGAAGACACGTCAGCGGGTCAATACTTTCATCCGCACCTCCGGTGTTTTTGATGCCGTCGTGGACTTTGATAAGTTCCTGGCCGATCCCACAATACCGAGTCAACTCAGCCCGTTGTATGATTCTGGAGATTATCTTCATCCTAATCCTGCCGGATACCAGTACATTGCGGATAAATTCCCTATTCAGATTTTTGGTATGTGGGCGAATGGTGCGGATGGGTTCAGTTGGGGTATGTAATACGGCGGAGAAAGCCATACTGCAGTGACTATTGGGTTTTGGAAATGTATATATCGAAATGTGCTAGTACGATCATGCGTCAGCCAACATGAGCTTTCCATGAACATATACGTAATTGACGTAAGCTTTGTACTCGATGTTTTGGGTCACGCGGGAAGGACTCGTAACTTGAACTCTGATACCAATATCGTGCGCAAGGAGATGTCACATCGCTCTCCAGATACGTCTGCTGCGAGACCCTGCGGCGTCTCACAAGGCAAGTCCAGGCACGCAAACACATACCATCTTCTATTTGACTTTGTTGATGAACTCGGACGAACACTGGCTTGAAGACCAAGGTTTGGAAAAGTATCTCTAAGTACCCAAATATGTTAGGCACTCGCTACATGTGCTGATTTACGGTTCTTCCGGCTCAAAATCACCTCTTCACCTCCACTCAATTCCTCCTCGAAGTCACGATGATGGACGTAATGCGATTACAGAGAACGAAGATGACGCCTAGTGAGCCACGCCTAGAACAAGATTACGTAGTCACATGTAAAGACCAGGTTTGGTGTTAAAACCAGACTTAGACTTCTGCTCGCTGATCGATCACCAAAAAGGCGTGTTCGTACGGAAGGATTTGGAGTTTCCAGAACGAGTCCTTGACTGGAACATAAGAGCCTAGTGTGCGCCTCACAGCAAAGCAAAGACTCGAAAACGCGACGTTGTGTTGAGTCGTCTCTGTAGATAGCATCAGATCCATCGTGTGCTGGAGTTGATTTTCGTATATACATCAACAGGATATCGCTGTGTCCAAGGTATCTTCCCTAAAAGATGACCGAAGTCGCTACTGCAAATCGAACGCCGTTTTGAAACCGCCCGTGATCAGAGTTCCGTAATGATGATAACGCCATACCGACAGCCCCAGAGCCATACATCCTGTCACCAGTTTGCGTGTTGTGTTCCTTACACAATACCTTGCGAGAACCTCTCCACGCCATTCTTGATCTCTCTCACGATCTCCACTGCCTCGTTGGTGCTCTGAGCTTCAAAGTCATATCTCTTCGTCTCCCTCTCTTTGAAAACAATGACTCGGAACATCTTTGGGTGCTTTTTGCTGACCTTGCTACCAACTACACTGCTGAAATGCACAGTCGTCGTCTTGCCTTGGCCTTCAACACCAAAACCACCACGCGCCCCAGTCTTAGACTCGCCAGGCATGATGTGTATATACTCGTTATCAAGAGCGATGATCCGCGATGTCGAAGAGGCAAAGGACATGGGTTGTTTGCGGAGAACAGCATAACGGCGGTAGTAATTCGTCGCAGTAAGGGCCAGAGCACCAGAATCGCCAGTTCTGGCGAGTGGATGGATGAGACCTTGGCCAGAGACAGCTGCATTTGTTCGGTCACCCTTCTTTGTCTTCTTTGGCGCACCGCCGGTACTGATGATGAGAGGTGCATTGGGTGATGATGATCCAGGCGATCCTGCAAGCCCATAGACGCCGTCACCCACGAAGCGTCGACGCACGAGATCCAGATCCATTCGTGTGTCGAGAGCCTCCACGGTGCGGTCAGGTGGCGCTACTGTAGTGCTGCCACTCACTTTAAGGATGTACAAGGCTTTCTCCAAGCGTAAGTCGTGACATACTTGATCGAATATATCAGCAATGTAAGTGTCCGTGGTGCAGGGAATGTTGAAATGTTTCGTGTTGAAATTCTCGTCGGTGAAGTGGACGTTGACTGTTTTGGGGGCGCCTGTGCGGCTAGCAGCATGTGTTTGAGGTACCTTTGGTACGTCGGCAAGATTGCTGGTATCCTTGCGCGTCGCTGTCGGCGCAAACGAAGGTCCGGCAATGGGGTTTCTGAAGCTCTTTGCACGGCTTGGAAGGGGCTTCAGGGGCTTTTTCTCCTCTTTCTCGTCGGGACCATCGATTTGCGATGCGACAGCACTGGCTGCCTCTTGACTATAGATCGGCGTGAGCTTCTCGTTCTCGCCAAATTCTCGTTGAGATGCCTCGACGAGCGCGAACTCGTCCCATGGCTTATCTCGCGCTCGAGGGCGCATACCACGAGCATTGTTTGAAGCGAAGTCTTTCAACGGCTTGTTCCTAGTCAAAGGCGGGAACTCGTCATCAACCTCGCCGTCATCATACATGCGCATGACCCAGCGGTTCACATTCATCTGTTCAGGAGAAAGTGGCGGTTCGAGTTTCTCCTCTTGATAACGATGCAATGCGTATCCGATCGCTTCCGCGACAGTGGGGCCTTCACCTTTGTCATTGAACTTTCGGATGAGCAGCTCTACAGGTTTCGAAGGCTTAGACGAGAATGGGTAGTAGAGTTTGATGTATAGAGGGTTCTGTTGAGCTTCGCTAGCAGCATTCCACATAGCAAAGCGCTGTAGCGGATTCGATGGCTTCTGCTCTTTGGCTCGAAGTGCTTGAGTCAACGCGCTTACTGGCAGTACAAAGCTGATCGGCCGTGGTGGAGGCAGTGCTTGCAGTGTTGGCGCAATGGGCTCTTTCTTCTTTTTTGGTGATAGGTTCTGGAAAGGTGTCAAGCCCGGCATTGTGGGAAGGTCACCACCTGCGGGAGAGGAGTCCAACGGGTCACCACCTGCACCGATAAGAGATGCGCTATCGTCGGAGCCAGAGAATTCGGATGTGAGGGAGTCGTCTGATTCATCGCCTTCGTGTAGAGCTTCAAGGCGTGCGCGTGCGCCGACAGCCCCTGCTGCGTCTTCCTCAATACGCTTGGACAGCAACTGGCTTGCGCCAGCGGCTTTGCGAGGATTTACCCTCCTCTTTCTGAACGACGAATTATCAAACTCATTCTCCGAGGACATCTCACTGCTCGTTATGGTGTCTCTTCTTGGTCTGCCTTTGCCCGCATCTACAGCGTCCAACGACCCTCGCCGCAATGCATCGTCAGGTGGCCGGGATGGGGATGTGATCATGAGCGAAGGTCCTTCTCCAGCTTCTGCCAACTCATTGCGTAGGGCTGATCCAGGCATGGGCGACGATCCGGAGCGCGTCCGTAGTGGCATCTTGGTGAATTTGATTTGGTTGGCCGGTCTGGCAATTTGTCAGTTCAGTTCACGTGGCGTACGACGGTCGCCTACCTTTGCGAATCGTCATCTTCATCGCTCTCGTCGCTAAGGTCACTGCTATCATCCTCCTCCAGCTGTTCCTTCCTCCGCCTCCGTTTCGCGTTCAGTGTAGGGCCCACCGTATCGTTGCTTCCCCCTCCAGTGACCATGCCCCCCTCCTCCTCATCTTCACCGAATCCTTCTGGCGACTTCAGGCCAGCTGAGCGCGGGGCCTGAAAGTATTCCGAGGTGATCGCCGTGGGTATTGGTGGGGAATAGGTGCGCTTGATGTCGGCGGCGTTGGGAACCCAGCCTGCAGCGCGGAAGGCGGGGCTGTTCAGGACGCTGGAGTCGACATTGATCAAGCGTTCGCCGACGCCGTCTTTGATCGACGAGAGGTAGGCGGTTCGAAGCTGGTATAGCACAAAGCTGCTCAGGTTAGCTGACAAGTATGTCGCGCAAGTAAGATGGGCGTACTCTTCGTTCTGAAGGAGCGACATAGTTGGAAGGTCAAGGTGTCATAGTCTCGTAGTAGAAAGGTATGCTCAGACCAGCTGAAAGGGTATCATGAAGCCATAAAGGGCAGATGTAGTGAAGCATGTGGGGATGTGAATGTGTACCTTGGACCCTGGCTTGGCATCGGCCCTTGTCGCGGCGCGCGTGCAGTGATCTCATCGTCAACTTTCTGAATTCCTGCGCCAGACACCCGCCTCTCAACGAACGCGCCAAGACCACCATGAATCTACTCGCCGGGTATTCCGACTCAGAGTCCGACGGCGAAGCGCCGCCCGCGCCAAAAGTAGTCGCGAAGCCATCCGCGAAGCCAGCCTTCCAGAAGGTCGTCGATCGCTCGAATCCAGGGCGCATCAAGGTCAACCTTCCCGGCGCGTTACAGTCGCGATCCGACAAAGACGATATCCAGGATGATGCGCCGCCGGCAAAAAAGGCGCGCCTGGGTGGAGGTTCGTCGTTCGGTGGCTTCAACGCAATGCTGCCTGCGCCGAAGAAGCCAAACGTAAATGCCATTTCAGCATCCGAAGGTTCCAAGACAGGAGGCAGAGGATTAGGGAAGGGACTCGCTTCTGGTGTCAACCTGAAGACTGGCGCAGAGCCTGCGTTCAAGAGGGAGTCAAAGGTGGAGGCGGAGGAGTACGACGAGACTGGCAACCCGATCAAGAAGGAGCCTAAGTCGAGGGAAGATTTCAGGGCTATGCTAAACCTACCAAAACCCAAGTCTGCGATTAAAGCAGAGGTGAGGTCAGAAATGCCGACACAAGAAACAGAGGCAGAGCCCGAGCCACAGCAGGTGCCCAAGCCTGTTGCCCCACGTTTTGTACCTATGTCTGTCGGCAAAGGAAAGAAGAAGAAGCCTATGGCTCCTCGACCAACAGCATCGAACGAGATGAGCACTGCGACAAACACAAATACAGATGCATCCACATCACAAACGCAACAGCCACCTCTTGAGACTAAGGCGCGGAAGCCGAAGGTCTCTCTCTTTAGCGTCTCGAACGAAGCAGAGCCTGCGCCCAAGGAGACATCCGACGGCCAGTATCAACCACTTCTCTACGACGGGGAAGAGGAAAGAGATGTTGCTATGACGGAGGGAGCATACTACATGCCACCAGCACCTGAGGTGGCACAGTATGCTCCTTCATCTACGAGTGGATCTAACCCTCATGACCTAACCAACATTGCTTCTGAGTTGAACCTATCGGAAGCAGAGCGCCGCCAACTATTTGGTAAGAAAGGACGCGGTGGACCAGACTTTTCTGATGCCACGATCAAAGACTTCAACACAGACATGGAGTATGCCCATAACGAAAAGCTACGGCAACAGGGTGAAGCAGTGCAGCATAATCCACTCAAATCTATATCCGGTACTGGAAAGAATAGCCTCCGAAGTCTGGTAAACGTCGCGACCACCCAGAAGGATGCACTGGAGGATCACTTCGCTGCTGGTGCTCGAAATAAGAGAGAAGCAGGCAATCGGTATGGCTGGTAATAGTATGAGGCATGCTAATTTTTGTGGAGGAGAACCTCCGGGGCCACGGCCAGAATCGGGGAATCTCTGACTTAGGGAAGGCGTTGGCGCTATCATACAGACTTCAGGTACGAATTGTGCTTCTGCTATTGCCCATTTGGACCTAGCTGCCAATTGTGGGTCCAAGGGCTAAGTATATTACTCCTTGCTTCTTCTGATCCCTGCGTCCAGTGCTTTTCGTTCTTATGCCTCTCAGTGAGTTAGGCCATAGGTGACTCTCAGATTGACTGTGTTTCTTTGTCGAGTCACTGTCACTATGAGTTTGCCTGTTATACACCAAGGTCGCATATATCTTGTGATACTGTTGACTCCACTTCTGTTTTTCTCTTGAGCTATCGAAACTCTAATGCAATCTTTCGATACCAACAGTCTGTAGTCCGACTTGACCTCACGCATTCACTGATGGCCAATTAGTCAATCGCGGTAAACATCCTGGTTTATGGGTGATATATGAACTTGCAGAGTGCTACGAGTCACTTTTGGCTATGCTGTAGAAATCTTAATATTGATGTATATGCAGAGTATTGGGTATCATCATTACGTTTACTTCCCAGCTGCAGCTTTAGCGGCAGCCTCCTTCTCCTTCTTCCTCTGCAGATACCTTTCCTTGGCACTGCTGATGTCCTTTTCTGTTTTCTGACTCTTGCGTGCATGTTCCAGCTTCGCCTGTTCCTCAGCTTCTTCATCTGCTTTTCGTTTGTTCGCCGCTTCGATTTGTTCGACGACCATCTGTGTCTGCCGTTCGCGTTGCGCGTTCCTACCGGATTTGGGCTTCGTCCATGCTGACTGTGGTTGGTCTGCAGCGGCAGTGGAAGTAGATGTGGAAGAAGCGGGCTTAGGTTTCGCGATGATGTTGAGTCCTGCTGAGAGTAGCTGACTTTTGTCTGCTACCTGACCTTCTTCGTTGAGTATGACATTCTTTCCCTGCTTACGCAACTCTTCCACAATTTCAGCGTCTGTCTTCTCCTTCTCGGCTTCTTCGACAGGAAGTTTAATGCCCTCCTTCAGTGCTCTCGCGGCTGCCTCCATAGCCTCCTGATGCCGTCGCTCCTGATCTGCAAGCATCTGCTTGTGGAATCCTTGCATACCAAACTTCTTCTTCTTCTCTTCTTCTGCTTCTTGCCGCTTCTTCTCTTCCTCCTCCGCTCTTCGCGTCTCTTCTTGTTGAGCCTTGTATGCGCCTGTTACGAACTTCTCCTTGTCGGCGAATTCGTCGCCCTCGGCTTCGCGCTCGCGTTGGATGAGTTTATCGCGGGCTCGTAATTGGTCTTTCTTACGCTGCTCGGCGGATTCGAAGAGCGCGTCCATGTACTTCGGTTCCCGTTCCGCGGCGTTGTCGCGCTCAGCAGCCTTCTTTGCGGCGTTCACTGCGTGAAGCGCGTCGTAGGCAGCGTCGTAGTCGTATAATGTGGCATCGGCTTCCAGTGCCTCTTGTGCGCGTTTCTCGGCTTCTGCGGCGCTGGCAGAGTATGCGATGGTGGTGGGATCATCTTCTTTCGGTTTAGGTCTCTTGGACGGAGGAGCTGGAGGTTGGCCTTTCTTCGGCTTCTGCGGCGCTGGTTTTGAGGGCCCCGATGAGGCAGAGGCAAGCGTGTCTTCGAAGCTAAGCTCGCCAATCTCCTGGACGCCATCCGCTGCTTTGGATTTGCCCTTTACATCTTCCTCCTCGTCATCGAATAGCGGCTTCTTCTTCTTTCCCAAGGCAGGCTTAGCAGCAGCCTTCGCGAGTGGATTTGCGCCCTTGTTTTTGACATTGAGGCCGAATTTGAACGACATGTTGGGTTTAGTGTCGGAGTGGTGTTAGAGTCGCGGTCGCGAGTTGACATGTCGCATGCCAAGACGCTCGCGCAACCAGTGAAATCATCAGCACCTCCGCGCCTTCTCCGCAACTCACCCTCCTCCACTCTCAACCTTGGGATGACCGTGGGCATTTCACCCCCGTACCTTCTTGCACATCTCACTCATGCATGACTGGCTCCTGAATCATCATAGTCCTCATCATGGAGGAGCAGGCTAGCGACGCGACAGCGGAGGACCTCTACACCAAGGCTAAAGCTTCAAGGTTCCACTTCAAATCCGGCTCCAAACGTCGCTCAAAGCGGCACGTACGCGAAGGCAAAGACGAAAGCACCGACGACCATACTTCAAGGAGACACAGGTCGGATCGCAACAGTCAAGAGCGCCGCAGCCACCGCGATTCAAGACGCAAACACAAGCACAAGCATCGTACCTCTCACGAGGACCCTCACCCCACGTCTACACGAGATGGCGCATACTACGACCCTGACTATCGTCATCGCGAATCATTGTTCGATAATCTAGATGAGTCAGGCGCATGCTCTCCCGGTCCTGGCCCAGCTCCCGACGAGGCCTTCCGCGAGTCGCTGTTCGACGCGCTAGCCGATGACGAAGGCGCAGCATATTGGGAGGGCGTCTATGGCCAGCCTGTACACATATACCCTGATACGAAGCCTGGCCCCGATGGCAAGCTGGAACGCATGACAGAGGAGGAGTATGCAGACTACGTGCGGACGAAGATGTGGGAGAAGAGTCATCAGCACATCGTTGAAGAGCGCGAGGCGAAGGAGCGCGCGCGTCAGCAGCGGAAGGCACAACGCTGTCAGCTTGACAATGAGGTCGAGCAGGAAGAGGCCGAAAGAGATAGTATTCGGCGCCGTATGGAAGAGAGCCTACGTCGAGGCGAAGAGCGCAAGAAGGCCAAGGAGGCGGAGGCTGCATGGGAGAATTACACGACCAAATGGGGCGGTTTGAAGAACGTTCAACGTTTGGATGGAGAGACAGATACGAAAGTGCGTGAGCTCATGCCGTGGCCTGTAATTTCTGGCAAGGCAAAGCATGTGTCAAAGGAAGAGATTGAACGCTTCTTGAGGAGCGCAAAGACGTGGAAAGAGGATTCGGTGGCACTACTGAAGGCGGAACGAGTGCGTTGGCATCCTGACAAGATGCAGCAGCGGTTTGGACAGCACATTGATGGCGATACGATGAGGCAAGTCACGGCGGTTTTCCAAGTCATCGATCGGCTATGGAACGAGCGACGCTGATTGGAATGTGCCTTTACCACGCATACGTTCGCATTGCCACGTTAATATTTTCTTTACTTCGAGATACCCACAACAACGCAGCTGCATCCGTTTACCGGCATACCCACCAGCGGCTATCGGTCTCGGCAGCGAGTTAATATCAATCGTACTACTCCGTCACCTCCTTTCTTGGCACCAGGTCACCGTACATTGACAAACTTAATCTCCGGCTTCCAAGAATCTTGGCGCACTGTATTCATGACGAAGCAACTGGGCTGATGTAGTTAAGCATGACGATCTTCACTATGCTGGCGCTTGCAATGCTAAGGAACCGGCTAAATGCTTGGTCTTGGACCAAAATGCTTTTGCCAACGCCATCGGTGGATATATCACGTATGGTCATCTGGTCGTGTCGCATGCCGAGATGGATAAATTGTAGACAAGCTAATGATGCGAAGATAGAGTGGCTTGACTGCATGCTTCGTGGGTTGGCATAGTGCTTGAGTGAGCTTGATCAGGCCCCGAAAGCTTGTGCAATATCAACATGTACACAATTAGGTATACAAGTGCGATGGGATCTGGCTCTGAAGCCGTTAAGAATGGAGAACAAGTGCAACGAGTCAGGGTGGTTCTGAACGAAGGTGTTCTCGCTCCACTCTTGTCGCACTACAGTGTGTCGGGCCTATAGCATGACAGGTGAACACCAAACCCATCTCCATCGGAAATGAACTGTTTCAAGTTTCAAAACTTCGCCCTCCAACACTTATCCAACCAGCATTTTTGGTCCCTGAATAACCGGTGGTCTGATCTTGTTTTCAGAACACGGCTCCACACATGGCGACGGGTCGTAGCCATGCACCCCACAGTTACAGCGGCTGATATACGCCACTAGCCAGGCATGCTCTCACGACCGCTGTCCTCCAATTTGGAAAGCCTCCTTCAAGCCGATGCGTAGCCATTGTTCACCGGCGATCCCTGATGCTGATCAGTACGTTGCAATGCCTCCATTGATATATAAGAGTCTCTGATGTCCATGAGTGAAAGACACCAAGCATCTCCAATTTGAACAGACACCATGGTTGCTTTCTCCTCTATCCTCCTCGCCCTCGGCAGCGCCACAGCGGCTCTCGCCTCGCCCCTCAACCTCATCCTAGAGGCTCAAGCTCAGGAAGAGTCTGCCAACCTGACTGCACGCGCCACCCCCGCTGGCACTGGCATGAACAATGGCTTCTTCTACTCTTTCTGGACCGACGGTCAGGGTCAGGTTACTTACAACAACGGTGCCGCTGGAAAATACGATGTTCAGTGGTCCAACGTTGGTAACTTTGTTGCTGGCAAGGGATGGTAGGTTGCTCTCATCACCTCTACACACGATCATACTAACTCCCTTATTCAGGAACCCTGGCTCTGAGCGTGTAGTCACGTACTCTGGTACCTGGAACGCCGCCAACGTCAACTCTTACATTTCGCTCTACGGATGGACTCGCAACCCACTCATTGAGTACTACATAGTCGAGTCCTACGGCTCATACAACCCCTCTTCTGCTGCTCAGAAGAAGGGCTCCGTCACCTCTGACGGCGGTACATACGACATCCTCCAGACTACCCGCACCAACCAGCCTTCTATCGACGGCACTGCTACCTTCCAGCAGTTCTGGTCGGTTAGGACTAGCAAGCGTGTCGGTGGTACTATCACTGTCAAGAACCACTTCGATGCTTGGGCCAAGTACGGACAGAAGCTTGGTACGCACAACTACCAGATCCTCGCTACTGAGGGTTACCAGAGCTCTGGCTCTGCTAGCATCACTGTTGAGGGTCCTTGAACGATGGCTCTTTAAGGTGTCGAAAAGGCCTCGTGGCTAGAATTCTTGTACATACACGCAGACATTTCTGAAAGCTATCAACAAAATGCGCATCACATATTGATTAATTTTGTGGATCAGTGATTTACAGTTTATACCTGTGGCGAGCCGGCAGCATCGGGCGATCTATGCCCGAGGAACGGTTTTCGAAACACGCGACCTCACGCGTTGATGAACGAACCTCGGAATCTTCCAAGGTTCGACTCATCCCCACCCCCGAAGCCACTGACATCAGCCTTGACAGAACTTGTCGGTGTCATCGATTATATTGCATTCGCTGATATACAGTAAGACGGACCCCAGGACTACCTAGATAACATCTTCACCACGGATAACTCAACGCCCATACGTGAGGCCATGACATTGGTCACTGAATGGGCGAGTGACTACGGTAGTATTTCACGTAACTTACAGGGTATGCGAGCTTTTGCGCATACGGACAGGCTGTTACCAATGGCAGGCGCGTACGATATTTATGGCTTGCAGGGGCGCAGACAGACACTCGGATACTCTCAGCCTTGTTGTCTGTCGCAGGTAAGCTGAGAGCATCATCGAGCGACGTCGTCTTTTCATATCCTCTCATACATTTACTCGTGTGTTATTCACTGTTGTACCGATATCTTCACTTCACCCTTGCGATTACAGCCATGGTTTGTGGCGGCAAGCTCATCTGCGACGCGCGGAACACTGCCATACTAGCAAATCCCGACGTTGCAGGCTATGGAGTATGCGCTTCTGCTCATTTCATCATGGCTGCCATTGTTGTTCTTGTCTTCTCGCTGACATCAAGCTCGTTCAGGTTCTTGTGTCGTTTGTACTCTCGGCTCTGCTTACAGTCGGAGCTGTGATATGCGCGTATCTTTCGGATTCAATGCCCGAAAAGTACCTTAGCAAAACGGACGAGGCCTTCATTAAAGAGTTCCAGCGCATCAAGAAGAATTTGCCATTCCGCCTTTTGCCCGCCAAGTTACGTCCACCACCTACTGAACGACAGGGAAAGCTCAGTCGGGAGAAACGTGTGGAAGCATTCGACCGCTTCATATTGTCGTTGAGCGACCAACAGCTTGCGACTGGCTTGGCGATTCTGATAGCTGCCATCGCAAACCAATGTACGCTTTCACCCCCTGAATTTCGAATTGCGTTCTCATTAGCATGGTTCTCAACTACTACACATCTGGCGACACTTGACAGTTTACGGCAGTATTTCACAAAACACAAGACTCTACGAAATGTGCGAGTATTTGGTATGCTCACCTTCATGGTCTTGTTCCTCTATTGCTTCATTGTTGTATTGGTCATGGAAAATAGTCCCGATAACATCGTTCCGGTTCAATGCCATGTCCAAGGTTCGGTCAGAACGTATAAGGATGAGGAGATCACTCTCTCGACCTACTTCTGGCCCTGGGCGATGACGGCCCTTATCATCATATTTGCATACAAGTCCAAGCTCCTCCGCACGTACTCATACGGGTCGAACGACTTCATTGGCTTAGGACGCTACTCAAAGAATGTGCTATCTCTCTGGAGCCGGTGGAGATATCCGAAAGAAATGCAATTACCAATTATGGAACCTGATCAGTGGAACTACGTCCGGAAGGAAGCCGCCGAGGAGCTTTTTGCTGGGCGTCGTCAACGTCTTCTCATGGATCTCGTACTCAAAAGCAAGGATCCTGCCTTTATAACCGAACTAGCCAACGCATGGAAGTATGCCGAATACAGATATTGGCATTCAATGCTTCCACTGGTACCACCAATGACATTCATGCTTGTCTTTGGTCTTGCCCAGATGATACTCTTCCGTTGGGAGTTGGGTGACTACAAAGCCATTGAAGTCGACACATCCATGGGTTTTGGACAGATTATCCCACTAATACTACTTGCACTGCCTTTTCTTGCTGCAGCCGAGATATATCAAGGTAGGTCTTGAGCGTTTTCCTCAACCTCATTGGTTGACAAAACCATAGAATCCAGGTCGGCCTCCCCACCGGGTACGAAGTCGTTAACGTCTAATACCGTGGTGATCAGCGAACCAAGTTCAGCCGTATCACCAACGCGAGTCGATCGAATGCCGATCCTCCGAGTGACCTCATCCGCTGATGTTAACGATCCTCGTTTGGTCCAATTAGAAGAACAAGGACGCGAATATGACAATGAGATAGCCAACGTCAAAAGATACTTCTATCGGGAAGTGGAAGAAGTGAAAATGCAGCACACAAACGCCAAGACGGATCAAGAAATGAGAGTCATCCTCATTCGCAAAGAGCAGCTACTAAAAGACACCAAAACCTGTTTTGAGGCTGAAAACAAGATGAAGGGCAAAGGGGTTCCTCTAAAAATCGCCTCGCTTCTCTACATGCGGGTGACTTTTCTTGCCGCGGCAGCTATTCTTCTTAATCTGCCACGTAGGCATTTCATTGGTGGTATCATTGGAGGAGCGCTGCTGCTCATGCAGCTCAGCTCGCAGTTATATGTGTGGATCTCTACATTGCGGGGGACGGAAGTCAAGGTTTACGTTCGGTTGTTGGCAAAGTTCGACGAGAACAAGCAGGGAAGGCTGCGTGCTCAGTTGCATTAGCTTTTGACACACTTAGTCTGAGTTCGCGACTGTTCCTGCATTCCTTCTCTCAAGACGGAGCAGACCATCCATCTTGTCTCATGATGGAAAGTGGCGGTTTAGAAGCCGCCCTTCTATACATCCACGAACGATGTGTCTAGAAGATCTACTAAATCGCTATAGATGTCGTGTTACACAAGAAATGGTGATGGTTGGATGAGCGTGGACAAATTGCATGGTGGCACTTCAACCAAGATCGCGAGACTGACTGGAAGTCAACCACGTAAGTAGTCTTACGAGACTTCGCTCCATTTCCAAGATTCAGGACTGTTGTATGGGAATCACATTATGTACCATGAAGGAAGGAGACATCATCGTCATACTGGAAAGAGGGGACACTCCGTTGATACTAAGGCCACATGGGCAAGAGCTTAACAAAAGTATCCAGGATGTGCATGAGTGGGATTTCAATGCCGAAAGTTATTTACACGGCCTAATAGATGGAGAGGTAGTGTTAGGCGATTTTGATTATCAAGAGTTTGCCTTACGATAGTTTTGCGCTTATGAGCCTTTGCTATTCACACCACGCACGACAGGTCAGCATGTACCTTTCCCAACATGTGAACACATCCAACACAACGGCGAAGCAAAAAGAATACGAAGATTGCAAAAACATACAACAGCGGGGATTCGCTAGTGGTCACCCACCTAACTACTAATCCGCCGGTACACTGCTTGTATATGGCTGAGCGGACGGGAAGCCTAATTTTCAGTGTCCTGTGGTCGTATGTGGAATGCAAAACCAATTTTTGAGTCATATCCCCAATCTAGAACGCGCTGTTTTGCGCCTTGCCAAGCGCTGAGTCCACGATCAGACGTGATGTGATGCAACTCATCTCGAGGACGAACAAAAGCTTCTGCAATCGCCCAAAATGAGGCCTGGTGCTTTGTTACGGCTGAGCCTACCCCGACCCAGCCGCCAATCTCGTATTCCCAACTTCTTACTGCATCCATCAATAAGCTACTTGTTTCCACCCATTGACAGTCTATCAGGCATGTTTGAGTTGCTCGTAGCCGCCTTCCTTCGGGTTTCGTAGGATAATAGGCAACATGACAACAAGTCTGTATTTGACTGCTGCTCCGACCTGGAGAAGTGAGTTCGGCTTTTGTGGCTGCTTCATATATCAATGAGAAATACCTTAGGTCAAAAGATCATGTCAATAAGCTCCCAATGACACAGCATGAGTTTCCCAGATATCTTCTCAAGTCATGTATGATATTGCCCAGGACGAAGGATGATGATGTTTTCCTTGTTTTCGATCCAAGTTGCTTCTTCCTTGCCACCTTGATTGCGGTTTTGCAAAGACGGTCGAACGCTCCGATGCTCACTGCCAGATGCCTTTCTGGAAGATCTCGTATGCCGAGCTCCAGTGAGAATTTGCGCTACAAAGTTCAGTTACACACCAGAAGTCGTTTGGATATGGTGCGGTACCATGTGAGCATGCAGCCCTCTCAATGTTGTCCAGTATTCCATCATGCTCTGTAGCTTGGGTGCCGAACAGCTCACGGTAACATGGAGTACTACTGTCCATCTCAGAAACTGCGCTCTGTCTCTCGTAATTTCTCTTTCAAAACTCGTAGCCCTTATTGTTTCTGAAGCAGTATCCTAGATTGAAGATCTCCGAAGTGTCGGTACACAGTAAACGCCTCATCTCTCTCAGTCCTCCGTAACCCGGTCTTCTTCAAGCTCATGACCCAAGGCAGCGAATGCAGAAGGCGATCAGATCGGACTAAGTAGTATCATTTTTGTAACATGCTATACGTGAGAGGAGACAGGCTCCTGACTGGGTTGTTTATCAGGCCTGCCAAGGCTACAATCACCATCAGGCGGGTTGTTCAACAGCTAAGCTACTCGCTAAAGTTAGGAGCAAACATATTTCTCAGCTACGAGGGGAACAATGAGCGCTTTGTATGCGCATCAAGGAAAGTAGCTGTCGAGTAAGTAGATGGAACGACCAACACGATTTGAACGTTGTCCTCTGTCAGATAGACGACTGCGACACGTTGTGCCAGGCAGATAGCCAGGTCGCTGCTCGCCGACAGAGGCTACAACTGATCAAGCTGCAAGTGGTATCACGTGCAATCACCATCGGCTGCGACCAAGTGCAGCCCGCAGGTATGATGTAAACTCATAGTATGCTTTAAGAGAAAGCAGACATGGTAGTGTTGTTGACGCGGCCGAGTTACTGTCTCAGGCAGTCGGCTGATGGTGCTTCGCCAGTCTCAAGTCGATAAAAGTTCATTTCATACCTACCAAGTATACATTAGTCGTACAGTATATACACGAGTTATAATCAAGCTGCGCTCAAGCAGCCTTTGTCCGTAGCTGCACGCCGTGCCAGCTCTTGATTTCATCCTTTAACACCTCGTTGACCAGTTTGTGTTGCTTGATGACCGTCAAGCCTTTGAACTTGGGGGATTCGACCTGGATCGCGTACATGGACCCACAGCCGCCGCTGATGTCTTGGACCTGTACCAGACATGTTAGCATCCGCTTAAAGACTAATAGACGCACATTCCTTGTGTGCGACTGTACTGCTTTTGTCCAGGGATTTGACTTGCATCACAGCTTGAAATGTACCCCGCAATGCTGATATGACGTGCATGCTCGCGATGCAGTAGTCGGTCGCGCGACCGGTGAAGTCAACGCAGAAAACGTCCACCTCCGCACATGTGTAATCTCCAAAGACGAGAAAGCGGGGAAACATTACATACCTCCAGTTTCACGGGCTCCAACTCCGATTTTATTTTATTGAAGACGTGCAATTCTGCCTCGTTGAGGTAATCCGGTGCTTCAGGCGCTGCGCTGGCTGACTGCGAATATAATCGTGTGCACAATGTGGGGAACCTTGACTGCTGCAACAGGCCCGAACGTAGAGGTGATGACTGTTGTGTTCTACATAAGGCATATGAAGATGTGGCGAGTAGACGCGACGTCGGTCGTAAGCATGGTGTTGCGGCTGCGGAGGCTATGCGGCGAAGAAGGACGGCTCTTGACGGTGCCATTATCGCGGTATAAGCTTCTGTGGTACCGCTGTTAGCTACTGCCTACCATGATCTGCATTGGTTCTGCAGTATGACAGTAATACGCTTACGGGACTCTGTGTGGTGGTTAACGCGACGACCTGAACGTCGTGACAAATCGTCGAGTTCACCATCGCGAACTCCGTCATAGGTCCGAGCGTCTGCCGCCAAATCACATGCCGCGATTACTAAGTAACACTGGGATGCTGCGTCCACGGTATAGTCACGGCCTCACAAAACCTCAATCTGTCCAACTTCGGGAGATGTCAAGTCCTACTCGTGGCATCAATGGTCGACTCTTCTCGATCTCAACAGAAAGTGGCAATATACGGCATACTAAGCTAATCGGCGCGAGGCCATCGTCGCACAAGATATGCTGGGGTAGGTTGCCATCATGGACACGGACCCACCAAAACTTCAAAGTACCTCCATGTACCTCTTGTATCGCCTATCATTGCTTTGCTCCGATAGCAGTTTCTATTAGCAAAGCGCAACGCTGAAGGTTTATAGATCCGCACATCACTCCACCAGGCGTACTCACAACATTGAACGGTGGGCGCGTCTCCACAGTTCTTCTCCGCTTCATGCTGATGGCGGAGTGCATGTCATAGCACCTCAGCACACCAGTCCACACCTCACAAGCTTACATAGGTTTTAGGAAAACAACAACCAAGCGACGGACCTGGACCCCTCTTTTCCAAGACACAAGCGGCCGAGACCGTTCGGACCCTGATCAGCGGAGTGCAGCTTGAGACGCAGACTTTCACATGTTGAGGACAGGGTTGAGATCGCAATCAAGCACCAGGCCTCCATCAGGATGTCCTAAACGGGCCGTCGCAAGCCAGGAGACTGGTTTGAGCCAAGCTCTGCATGAGGTGTACGCCACATACATGGGCTGTGCCGTCCGGCTTATCAAAGGATTCGTTCAACCGATTGAGGGGACAAGCTCGTCTTTCGTCATATCGAACCGGCGGGCGCCTCTGAGACGCAAGAAGAGCTCATACTGCAGCGAAATGACGCGTTGTGGACTGTCTGAGTCCCCCGCGACGGGATTCGTATTGACAATATTTGTGTATGGACGGCTGGGTATTCCGCATTGAACTTGCGGTCTAAATGTATGGCAATGGTCGTGCCGCCAGAAATCTGTCCTCGGCGCAACCCCTCCATGGGCTCTCCAATTTAGGCAGTTTAGCCTTGTGTGGGGGATATATCAAGTCCAGATTAAGACATGTAAAAAGCAGCCAATCAGCCCCATCGTCTCCGGCACTCACAATAACGGTAGAGTAGATATAGCATGGAAAGCGCTTTGGCAAATCTGGGTACAGCTTGCGCTGCTATGTATAGCCTCACTGCGTGCGCGACCACAATTCTTGTCGCAAGTTGATGGAAGAAACCTCATTCTGGGTAACAATATAGTACTCCTAGGCATTTCCTGAAAATCACAATCTCAAGAGCATCGTAAACCAATATGAATCTGATGGGAGGTGCCGAAACGCTGCGGCATTTAGATAGAGTAAAGACCTTGAACGGTACAAACAACTGACTTCACAGCCTCGGCGCGCGCCTGTGACTTCCACAATTGACAACGTCCAACAATAGTAGAATGCAGACCTTTCTCCTAGTCAGCGTCTTGACGGCGTTGGTGATTGCGGTGCCATACCCTCAGGCAACAGAAACGTCAATCGCACCGGGTGCAACTCTCATCTCGCTTTCAGCAATCTTACCAAGTCCAACTGCTACATCCCCGGATTCGACATCGCTAGACATTCCGATCACATCGGTACCAACACCTGACCCAGACCCAGAAGACGACGAAGACCCAGAGTCCAGCTCGTCGAAGAAAAATCCTCATTGGGAGCCAATTCCAATCTTCACGAAGCCATGTCAGTGCCAATTGGCGACAGCTAGGTATCCATGCTGGGCTACCGATGCACTAC